TGATGGAATATGGGATAGAAAATAAAATAGAAGGCGCGAATCAAGATTAAAATGGATTTGGTACTTGCTAGTTATTTAATTACGTCTTGCACTATGCTTCTCTCTACTTTTTATTTGCTTGTCCACTAATGTTGATTTTTGGCAGATTTTAATTGTTATTTTCTGGTCGGCGCTCGAATTTGACAAAGACATTCACCATCCCGCCAACCCTGTCCCTATTTGCACAACTGATGCCTGAAGGAGATTTGAATTGGAGGTGTATTGTATCTGCACAAGTGGCACTAAGAATGCCTTTTGAGAAGCGCCCCATGTCGATGATTCGCGGCCCTGGGTACGATTTGATCATAAACAGATGCAGCAACGTCTTCGGAATAGAATATCAGTTATTGTATATGTGCCATGTATTGCTACTGATTGATGTTTAATGGACCATTTAGTGAAACCCAAACGAGTTGCTCCTCATCCTGGTGCTCAACATCGATCTGCGTAAGTGTCGCATTTCTACCACATCCTTGGAGTGTCAAACGAGTATCGGTTTGGCTATGGTCATGCCAACAATTCCCGTTCGTGGAGTGTCGGGCATGGTGGTGGGGGAACCATGAAGGAAGCTGATGGCAAAGCCCATACCAGTCACTGCGCGGTACCAGGTTCAAGACTTGCGGCTCTGGATCAAGGTAAGATGTGCATTATCTAAGAGATAGAAGAGATGATAAATGAAAGTGGGCATGCTGGTAAATCAGAATTTATGTTTGTAGATTAATACATAAATAACTCTACAGTAAGGGCTATGCAATATATAGAGGACATCTAGCAGCTAATAAATAATTTATATTTAAAGATTCCTTTATTACTCTCTTAGCCTCTTTCTCTTTAATTGTATAAGATTTAAAAATAGAACTACTTAAATAAAGTGTAATATTTCTATTAGTTTATTATATTATTTATAATAATAAGTATTATACTATAAAGAAAAACGTTGTAGTATTTGTGCTGATATAAAGATATATTAACGACTTCCCCCAATGGGCCAACTGGCCAGAGCTCCCTGAGTGGCAGGKCTTTTAATGCCATACAGCTCGTCGTTGGACGATGAGGCTTCTGTGACTAAGAGCTGAGCACCTGTCCCATATTGTAAGCACTAGGGCAGCCACAGTTGCCTCGCATGACTAGAGAGACAAAGCTGAGAGACATGCTGATCCCATTTAGAATAGGTGGCATGGCCATTTCCAATACTTTCAAGGGATGAAAATTCCTGCTCAGGTGTGGGGTAACAACCCTCCCAATCTGGCAGAAAACCCCTGGGCAATTTCTTACCGTATTACTAAGAGTGAGACAAAGAGGTCTAATCATAAGAGTAGAGTAAGCTAAAGCTGGTCCCTTACAGGAGAACTATTGCGCTAATTGATGCAGGTTATAATAGTATATGACCTTACTCTATGAATGCAAAGGCTAAGCGAACCGTTGTAACGGTTTTGGTTACATTGTGTTACGCTCTCCCTTTAAAGGTAGATCAATTGCCCCTATTTATGCAGGGCGGTGGCGTGTCAACCACTTAATGTTTATCTCGCGTTATAAGGTTCTACTTTTTGTCTTACCTTGACTTTTTACACACAGTTTTGGATATGTTTTACACGGATATCTTCTTGTCTAATCTTGCTTGGTAGCACATTGTACCTGAACTCAGCCAGTCACTATCAGTTGACATCTCGGAAAAAGACTAAGTAGGATAATATCAATCGGCCCGGTTTATGCAGATGCGGTTTAGAAGCATTCATGCAACTAGCTACTGGCCCAATTTCTTTTGGGTTGGCAAGATCTACTTTTTAAGGACCACCTGGGCAAATTGTCTCAATGGCCAACGTGAATTAATCTCCTACATCTATTTCTGGCCCCCCCATCCCAAGATTCTTGTCTTTGGGGTTATAAATGAGCCAAAACTACAATGAGTCACACTCATCTGACCTCGTTGTCTCCAAAATCATTTTTCCTTCAACTTACATAAGCAATATGATCAACGACTATGAACAGCGGGTCGAGGACATCGCATCGCGATTGCCAACACTGCAAGCAAAGTTCGAAGACCTTCGGTCAGCCTCGGTACAAAACCAGATCGACCTCCGGTCGGATCTTGCTTCCAAGGTTTCTTCCGCCGTGGATACACTGACGAAACTGGCCCAGCTTATATGTGGCCAGCCCGACCGATTCAGCCCTCATCCAGAGATAAACATCACTATTAAAGAGCTTAACTCATCCTGGAAAGAAACCAACAAAGCAGCAAAGAATCTTCTTGACAATATTAACAACAATTACATCAATGTATGTTTAACATTCTTCCAGTAATTACTTATGAACGACGAGCCAACTTTATGGTATCTAGATTGCCGATTTTAATAATGTCAGCTTGGGCCGCTGGTACAATCAAGCAGTTAATCTACAGGCAGCGCTACGGGCGACCCAGAAGTCTACAAAAAAAGACTATAGGATTGAGAAGTCTATACAATTGTCTTTGTTTCAGGCCCGCCGAGATGCAGAAAGCCACGTCCATAGCTTGCAGCAGACGCTGGATGAAGCACAGAGCGAATACGACGGCCTCGACCAGGTATGCAGAACGTATACTGCTACAGATCCATCAACACTAACATCGTTCCAAACAAGCTTGCGCTGAATCCTACGATGAGAAGGATGACTTTACAACGCTTCGAGCACGCCATGGCGATTTGCACGTTTGACTTATCAGACGCAAAAAATGCCGTTCAAACGGCTATTGAGCAAGGAAACGCTACAGAACAGCGACTACGCGAGCAAGAGTCCACGGTGCGAGAAATAAATGATCTTGTAACCATGCAAGCCGATCTCGTATCTCAAGGCTCATCGCTACTTACCAACTGTAGTGACCTGATGGGAAGTGTAGAGCATGCCGAAGATGAGATTTCCTGCATTAAAATTCATCACTTCCGCGCTTGGCAGCTTATAAACAGGTTATCCGACCGTTCCGAGTCTGCCGAGTTCGCTCTCTCCAAAGCAGCGTGTGCCAGCTGTATACTGATGGTCATCGATACGATCCTTGACGACCATACTCTCACGGCCCGTTTGACAGAAATGGTTCAACACTTGGCAAATTATGATGATAGCGAGGGATTTATTCGAGGGATCATTACTGGTGATTATCCCAATGGTTTGCTTGCCGGAGTGCAAAGGGAATTAGAGCTGATTCAAGATCGCTGTTTGGTGTCAAATACTGTCAGCCCCACCTGTGAGAGACAAGACACGAAGTCGCCGGCTTTTGTGCCTTTGAAACTTTTTCCTACTATATTACCATCTCCCACTCGACCAATGCTTGCTGATGCTAGTATAGATCTGTTGGAGAAAGACAAAAATAGGTCATTTAACGTTAGGCGCTTTTCAGCTTCATCTATAAAAAGAATTATAATTAGGCCTAGTTTTAAATAGTAACTTCTTATCTTTTTTACTTAAATTATATAAATTATATAGTGGTATCCTGGCTTTTAATATATAATCAATTTATTTTAATTTGAACATTACCTTTATTTTTACATTATATTATTATTTATTTATTTTTATTTTACTCATACTTCTTCAAGATAAATAAGGCAGAATAATGGCCCTTTAGTGAATAATTAGAATTATCAGTATGACTAGGAGAATATCATCGTTTGGGCTGAGCAAGGCGAGCCTCGGATTAACGCTATCTCATGTCATGGAGACTACAACTGTCGCGAAGTCATGAATGGTCCTATCGAATACCCTGTACAGAACTGGGATTGACTGCCCGCAGACACGCCCGCGCACCCAAAGGTGGTTTTCAATAAGGATGGTCAGCTTGTCATTTCGGGGGAGCTTATTTCGCGATAGGTAAGATAATAAAAATAACGATAATTTACGGTCTGCGTCATTTCAACTGATCGGTAAGGCAATCAGCAGCTGAATTATTAGTGACATAAATAGATCCAACCTTGCGGTATTTTCCGCCACTAATTGCGACGACTAAATTAATGATAGCCGCTAAATGTACATAGCGTGCCTTGTTGGGATGATTGGGCACATGATAAGCAGCTTTCCCCGCGTTTCAGGACATGGACTGCATTCCACCCACAATTCCGGGGAATTGCCTGTTTTTTTTTTACTTTGTCCAAGCTTCCCCTCAACCCCTTTGCTCTGAGCGGCTATGGACAAGACTCAGAGACGCCGAGTCCAGGGGAAAAGATCACGCACTGGATGGTATGAGGCTTCTCCTGGTAAATATTAAATTGCTCGCTTGCTTATACCTTTTATCACCTTCTAGTCTACCGTGCCGCATCCAAAAGATCAAATGCGACGAAACTCAACCCTGCTGTCAACAGTGTTATAAACGTAACCGTGTATGCAACATCTCAAGCGCTCGGTTCCGCGTCTATAATCGCGGCTCTGATCCACAGCCTGCCACGGCTCAGAGACCGTCACAGTCATCGGAACCTGACCCTATTGATAACAGTTGCCGCAATGCGGACGAAGACGCCCTTGACAGATCTTGGCATTTATTTGTTGGCGTTGATAGCACGTCTCCAGATCTAGACGTGGCCGCCGAAACGCCCAATGTCCCCAGCCCAATCTCAAACGCTGTCTATGACTCGAGTCGCATCCTGGTACGACTGGCGAGCTTACCGACGGTCCATCCTAGTGAAGCTCAACCTCACTTGGCGATTGGAGCCACCCCGCCAGGTGCCTCAGGCACAGTGAGCTCACCTCCATCAAACAGCATTGCAGCGCAGTCAGAAGTGCCTCGACGGGACTCAAACATCCCCGAACCATTTGATTTGATTGTCTCGCCCTCTTCGTTTGGAACAGATGAGAGTTTGCCGCATTTGCCCGCAATGGTCGCGGCACACGCTCTGACACCATCTCACGACTATACGAATGCAAGGGGCAGGGTCTCGACAAATTTGATAGACCAGAAATCAGAAATAATAGAAACAGACCCTGAGCTGTCCTTTTTCTTGCGGCAATTCGCCGATACAATGGGAAACTGGTAAGCAGCACCAAGCCCCTTAACCGTCGCCTTGCATACTAAAAATCGCCTTTATAGGATGGATTTGTTCGATATGGATCGGCATTACCATAGAGTCATACCAATGCTCGCATGGAGTAGCCCGCTGCTTCTCTATTCTGCCTGTGCCGTGGCAGCCAAGCAGCTTACTTTAGTTGAACCATCTCCACAAGAGCTACGGTCCTATATGGAGTTCTGGCAGACCACCTCTCACAAGGACTTTGGATGGTATAGCACCAAGTACTACGATCGTGCTATCTCGTTACTTTTGAGGTATGTTTCCGATCTCAGTTCAGGAGACTCTGGGCGGGAAACAGTAGAGCAACAAAGTGAGCGTGATCACAATTCGAAGCCATGTAGAAATGAGATCATCATAGCGGCCACCATCTTATCAGTTTACGAGTTTCTCACCGCTAGTGACCAGACGTGGTCTGAACACCTTGATGGTATCCGATCCTTTATTCGTCTATCGGACGAATTAGGCTTCAACTTCCAGCCCACGTCGGCAAGCCTGATTCTCGATCCTCTGCTACCAAGTCTACTACGAGCTGCCTGTTGGAACTTTGCAAGGCAAGACTTTCTTGCAGCTTGTGAGACATCCCCTTCCTTATTCAAACATTTCTCAACGTCATTGCTTTCCAACGAAGGCATAGCTAACGTGGTTAGTGATCAATGGTCACAAGACTAGGCTCGACACTGAAAATCCAGTTATCTGGCGACGAATGGGTCTAAACGTCTCTGCAGATGGGAAACCAATGGCCCACGTGCACTCCGATTCCCCAGAAGATCCCTATTCACAGGCTTTACGACCTGACATAATATCTAATACGCTCGTATGGCTTCTCTCAAAACTAGCCAACTACGTTGCACTTGTAAACGATCCAAGGCAGCAAGCAAACTCGGCGAGAGGTCTAGAGACTACGTGGCTGTCGCTGAATCAAGACTTTGAAACATGGCACCAGGGACTGCCCTCTAGCTTTCGACCGTCATACCGAGTGCGATACACGCCGCGTCACAGTGCCAAAGGGTGTCGGACATGTAGGCATCAGCCTGAATCGTTGATTTGTCACGAGACTTGGTATAGTAATAGTATGTGTGCCTCTAGCATACAGTCCTACCACATGAGTCAGATACTCCTCTTGATTCACAAGCCCGAAGGGCTAGCAGCAGCTCATGTTTCGCGACCGTCTGCCTCGGAAGGCCCTTTCGATGCCTTAACGAGGTTTAACCAGATGAAACGGGTGCTGCAATATCATGCTGCAGAAATTTGTGCTATAGCATTGTCCAGACTGGAAGCAGCCGCGAAAATCCATATGCTGCAGCCTGTTTACCTTGCAGGTCGTTGTCTACACACTAAAGCTGATCGTGCTATTGTTCTCAGGCTACTTGAATCTATTGAGATCGAGTTGGGATGGAGCTCACGATACCGAGTGGATGATTTACTCAGAGAGTGGGGCATGGATCGCGAAGAGATTATGGATTGCTGTCATTGATCTTCTTATGGCTTGGATACTGATAGCGAGATTTGAAGATGCATACTCTCATCTTTTACATAATTCTGTTGATACCATAACAAAAGAGCCCAATGTCGTTTGGGTTAGGGTGATTTTTATCTAGATACCCTGGTATGCTAACTCTTCCTCCACTATCTACTGGCAAAGGATAACACAAGCTTGTCATTCAACAACCGCGATACAGACGATACCGTACTTTTATCCATAACGAATGAAAGACCAGCGAGAGCCGGTAGCAATACCCAAAGGGGAGATATTTGGCCACCGCTCTTAAGGTCAGAAACAAACCGAAAGTCTCCCCAGCGAATGAAGATACTTCTCAACCAAAAGTGCCACTGCCATTCAGGATAGATCAATAGGTTCTTACCCGTCTTGGGCTCGACATACCAGTTACTGCATCCCGACGACCAAACCAAGCTCTTACATTTGGACTGGATCCATGAGTTCTCTTCATTTTCGGCCTGCTGTTTGACTTGGACAGCCTCTGCTGTTCGCGAGGGCCAAAGAGATATTTTCGGCGGGTGCAGTGAGCGTAAAATGGGATCGATGACGCGGAGGGCGAAGTTTATCTGGCACTCAGTCGACCATGTAACTGACAGATGACCGGTGAGTGTGTTGGGGCCCATCATGATGAACATATTTGGGAAGCCGGCAATGCAAGTCCCGTAATAGGCTAGGGGGAGTCCGTCGTTATGCTTGTTCCACTATTCAAATCATTGTGTCAGTCACTTGATGTATATAAGATCAAGATTAATGTGAATAATGAGTGCCTACATGATCTTCAACGCTCTCCCCTTCAAGACCGATAATCTCCATCGGCGCGAGCAGTTTTGTCGTCTCAAACCCAGTAGCCAGCACAATGGCGTCAGCTGGGAGTTCCTTGCCCGAACGGAGAAAGACGCTTCGCCGGCCAACCCGCTCAACAGGATCATCTGAGATAAGATGGAGGTTAGGCCTGTGCAGCGCCTCTAGGTATCCTGTGTCAAACACGCGACGCTTGCAACCAACTTCGAACTTGGGCACCAACGCGTTGACATATTCAGCTGGTGCATTCTCTCTAATGTACTTTCTAGATGCCTCGCTTAACTTCTGACGCGCGTTCTTGCCCGTTGCTGTATTGAACATGAGCCACTCAGCCTCGAGTTCGGCGTAGATGACGGCACGGAGTAACATCATGGCACCAGGGACCCAGCGCATCACGAAGCGGAACAGGGCCGAATACTCTGGATTGGGACGCTCGAGTAACCAGTGCGGTTGGCGCGCAAACTGGGTGACGCTCTTTGCAGTCTGTGCAATAACGGGCACGAATTGCGTGGCGCTGCAGCCGTTCCCTAGCACCACGACATTCTTGTTGGCGTGGTCGAAGCTGTGGTCCCAAGTTGCAGAGTGGAAGATGTTGCCCTCGAAGGTCTCGTGGCCTGGGACCTCGCACTTTTTGGGGATGCTGAGGGCACCAACAGCTGTAATGAGGATGTTGGCTCGTCTCTGAATGACTTTGTTGGTGCGGTGGTTGAGGATATCGACGAGCCAGGTGCTAGAATCGGACTGCCACTCGGCTTTGATGACGCTGCGCTGGAGACTTATGTGGGAGTCGATATCTTGCTGGCGAGATACGTCTTTGAAGTAGGCAAGAATCTCAGGCTGCATGGTGAATTTGCGCGTCCAATGCGGGTTCAGTCCGAATGAATACGAGTAGAAGTGGGAAGGAACATCAACTCCGCAACCAGGATATGTGTTAACGGCCCAGGTTCCTCCCACTTCGGTGCCTTTCTCATAAATCTCGAAAGTGGCATGTCTGTACTTTTTCTGCAATTGGATGGCGAATCCAATGCCTGACATGCCAGCGCCAATAATGAGTACGTCGGTATCAGCGGCAGTCATTGTCATGACAGCAGAGCGCGACGGCGAACATAAACGATGAGATACTCCCCAAGAAAACAAAGTCTTGCAGGCAAGAAAATAAGAATGTCCAGTTTTTTTCCCCTTGTGTCGGAACTCAATATTATCTGGCGTTGAGATTAATGGCACTATAGAAAGGGCGAGGATAATAAAGTCTTCATGAGCGCTGTATAAGGTCTTGACTTGATGGATCCTACATTCCTCACTGGAGGCACGCCAGTATTACCCTTTTCGGATGGCTAGTGAGTTTAGCCAAGGTTTAGGACACTGCCGCCAAGTCCAATCATGCATGATATGATACACCTGCCGATCTAACGCCTAAACTTCCAAATCGGGAGATTTTATCCTCAGCTCGATATCATGTTTCTGAGCATCCCTTCCTCAGGCTACATTGATCGGCTCCGCAATCTACGTCTGGTCACATGCATGTTATTATCTGGGAGCTAGGAGCAGAGCTACTTTTGCTCGAGACACCGGGCACCAGTCGGGAAGGTTCCTTTCTGCTCCTCTTTGAAACTAGCTTAGTGCTTCTTAATTCCTCTGGCCATCTCGGTAATGGTGTAAACCAAGGTCTGAGTGAAGTTTAACAGGCACAGAAGCTGGAAGCGGAATATGAGACGTTCTATCCTTGGCAGAGAAAAGGAATGGCACCTGATTATTGACTTTTCTTATAACAAGTTCTTAATAATGCAAAAAGGAGACTAGTACCAAGTTATTCCAAACTATCTTGAACTATACCGTCAAAGAAATTCATAACCCATCTCAGCCATGCTTCTTCTGTGAAAGAATCTCCCAAACCTCGTCGATGCCCTTACCCAAGCCGCTAACGGTATGTCCCGAGCCAGACGGCCCAGAATCATTGAGAACATGAACCTCTCTTGTTTGACCTTTTCCGACTTCCAAAACCGTTCCTCCAACATATTCTTCCTTCTCAACGAGACTGAGCATTGCCAGCGCAACATCCTCAGGCTCTACCCACTCGTCTTTTGCGCCATCAATCCACGCAAGCTTCTCTGGATGCTCTGTCCACAGGGGAGTTTTAATGACCCCTGGTGCAACTGCTGTCACACGGATACTAGCCAAGTCGGTACTGGCTGGAGGTTTCTCGAGACCCGCGAGTGACCGGACGAAATGAGATATCCCAGCTTTGGCTGCACAGTACATGGGCACCGACAAAACTGGGCCTTGTGCAGCGATAGATGAGATGTGCACTATGGAACCCAGTTTCTTGTTCTTTGTGAAATGTGTAATGGCTTGTTGCGTTGCGTAGATTGGGTGCGTCAAGTTGATGTCAAGGCTTGCGAAGCGACTTGCGCTATGCACATCTTTTGACAACGCCGTGCCAGCTGGGTGCCAGAAATTCGAGAAGGGCTGGAAAATGCCAAGTTTTAGACTCCCAAACAGACGTAGTATCATGGACTTAAGAAATACTTACCGGGTCGTACACTCCAGCACCAGGACATACGATGTCATACCCTCCAAATTCCTTCTTAGCAACCTCGAATGCGTGATCGAGTTGATCCCATTTCGTGACATCAGTCGGCTGGTATAACGCCTGAGAAGGGAAGGCCTTCAGCAACTCGCTCGCCTCAGGCCGTAGAGAAAGGTCGGCCATGACAACATTGCATCCCCTCTCGAGGAGGACTTTTGAGAAGTGATAGCATATTCCCGAGCCTGCTCCCGTCACAACAGCAGTTCTGCCCTTGACCGTAAATGCCATTGCCCTTGTGCTATGTGTGTATTCTTTGCTCAAGGTAAAGGAAACTTGATGAATGGCTGGTGATTGAGTGCCAGCTTGTGTAGATGATGCACGAAGGGGTTCGGGTGTAGGCAAAGAAACTGGATAGACAAAAAATCATTCTTTGATTTTAAGCGACTTGAGGGGGGATGTCTTACGTCCGGTCTATACTCCATACAGAGCGTGTTGTCAACTCATGATATGACTGGGACTCTCAAGTATGCTTCCCCACGATATTGACCCCACGGGGTTCTCACGTGTCATGCATACCTAGATGTTATTAGTTCGAGGACCCGGAGGGACATGATGAAAGGTTGCACCCAGCGCTTAAATTTCCACTTTGGGAATCGGACCAGTGTCTTTGGAACCGAACCCCGCAAAGACCTCAATTCCGCCGCAAATCTTACCCAGACGAGTCTGGTTCCTCTAATGAGCACCAGTCCAGAAGCGGAAAAACAAGAGTGCCGACTCGGCTAGCGTTACCCCGGAATTTAGGTGTCGGCTCCAGATTTCTAGGGGGGGCAGAATGCGGAGAAGTCAAGGTTGCAAACAGGTTCCAATCACCGTGAGATCTTGATTCGCCAATTAAGATGCTGATCATGTATCAAGGCCCGCAGTCCGATTTGCATTAAATGGATCGAAGTGGCTCTTGGCAATCAAGTACAAAAGGCGATCAATAACCCATTTCCACCCTATAGATTATCCTACACATGATCCTGATCTGTAAACCATCGATAAGCATTTGGTAGCAACCTCACCAGTCGACACAGCTCACCAGTCCTTGGTGACTGACATAACATCATGGGCCGAAATTACCTCGGCGGCTCTGGAGAGAGCCTGACTGTTTGGATCAGTCTCGCAGCATCAACCGTGCTAGTATTCTATGGCTACGACCAGGTACGAGAAGCAGACAATCTGTCAGATGAGCTCGCTGACGAGGCCAAACTCAGGGAGTTTTTGGTAACATTCTCGTTTCCAAAGATTTCATCGAGACCGTGGGTCATCCTTCTGTCGAGGCCCAAGGAACCATGACATCTGTATACAACCTCGGCTGTTTTGGTGGTGCACTCTCGACGTTATATACAGGTGATAAGCTTGGGCGGCCCAGGTCACTCATTGTTGGAAGTTTGATCATTGCGCTTGGTGCTATTATACAGGCTACTGTTTTTGGCCCAACGCAGATGTACGTTGGACGCGTTGTGGCAGGTAAGCCCTTGGCTCCTCATATTAGGTCTTTGTCAATCGATGTTACTGATACTCATAACCCAGGTATCGGAACTGGCATTAATACCTCGACTGCTGGTGTATGGCAGTCAGAAACAGCAAAGACCGCCAGCCGTGGCAAGCTGATTATCATCCAGATGGCCAACTGTATCACGGGCTTTTCTATCTCCAATTGGTTGACACTCGGCTTCTCCTTCGTTCCAGGAAGTGCCAGCTGGAGATTCCCTCTCGCATTTCAGATCTGTCAGTTCTGTTTCATATGTCCCGAAATACGAAAGTTTGCTAATTTCCACTCCAAGTCTTCTCTGCCCTCGTCTGTCTTATGTGTCCTTTTCTCCCCGACTCTCCCCGTCTGCTTATGCGCAAGGAGAAACATGAAGAAGCCCTTGAGGTCCTTGCCGCGCTTGAAGGGCACGGCGTAACTGTGGACTCACCGTCAGTACGAACTCAATATGCCATCATCAAAGACATCATGGACAAGGAACGTGGTGATGAATGTACATGGTGGCAGCTGATCACCGGGCGTGGTCCATCAGGTGCAGTGAGGAGAATGATTCTCGGCGCATGGATGCAATGCATGAACCAAGTTAGTTCCTTTTTGCTCATCTGTCTCACTCATAGTTCAATGATAAAGAGATGGCTAACATCAATCACCAGATTTCAGGCATTAACGTAACTAGTTATTACATGACCTATGTATTTATCAACGCCCTCGGCCTCAGCGAATTCATGGCCCGGGTCCTTGCTGCTGCTGGCTCGATCGACTATCTTGTCTTCTCTTTCCTCGCCTGGTTTGTCATTGAGCGTTATGGCAGACGTCGTGTCATGATGGTGTCTGCTGCCGCTTGTGCTGCCTGCTGGACCATCATCTCCATTGCTGCCTCCCAGATCGAACTTGGCAAGGGTAACCGATTTTCATGGGGTTGTGCAGCCATCTTCGGCTTCTTTGCTTTCTTTGCGGCGTTCGGTATGGGTGTCTTGGCAGTGCCGTGGCTTTATCCTACAGAGGTGAACGCTTTGGCTTTTCGGGCCAAGGGTGCTAGCTTAGCCATGGCCTCCAACTGGTAAGTGAATGACGTGATTCCTGCCAATACTTACTAACACCATGGTTTAGGATCATGAACTACATGGTTGCTCAGATTACACCTCCAGGTATTGCCAATCTCGGCTACCGTTTCTGGGTGATCTGGGCTGTCATCTGCGCTGCCTTCGTGCCAATTACCTACCTGTTTTACCCCGAGACTGCAAATCGCTCTTTAGAGGACATTGACCGCTTTTTTGCCGAACATCCGGATATTTTTGTCTTCCGCAACAAGACTGCCACTCAGCTCGCAAGGCCCGAGATTTACTTTGAGGCAGATAAGGCTATCGCCGAACAGCAAAAGATCCGAGGTGAGGTGGATGAGAAGAGCATTACTAGTGTAGTCGAGAAAGAGTTTGCTTAAACGAACAGTAAGCCGGTTGTGGGATGTAATAAATCGATACAGCTAGAATGATAATACTATTAGCTTGAATCTTATATAACCAACTCTGGAGTATCTAAACTACCAGTTAGTTAATACACATAGGTGGATCCTCTCTGTGACCCCATCGTCTTTGAATATACAGTAGATTGAAGTATGGAAGCATTTTTCAATATGCTTATAACTTCCAGAAATATTTTAATTAACTGTTGGCTTTATTTGTGATAAGTCAATGTCTCTGTATTAATATTGGGTGATATCTCCAGACCGGGAAAATGACGCATCTGTTACCCTGTACCTAGGCCGGATTTAATCTCCTATGGGATTTCATATCTACAATACTTACACAACAAATTACTGGTGTAAAAATTGCAACACGCAAGCATTATTAGATTTCCTTTTCTGATCTTGCCCCGGAAGGAGAGTATATCGTGATTGGCGCGGAAAGCATGAGGCGGGACACATGCTGCCAAGAAACCAAAGGCCAACAAAATTCTCACGACAGACTCCGGGGTATTATGCCGGTTAAATGAAACAGACACAACTCATTACCGCACCAGTTTTGTTCGTCCTTATGGGCAGTCCCCTGTACATATAATAACAGGGTAATATTCCTCGTTTCTTCCAGCTCACTCTTTCTAGATTTGTCTCCAATTAGAACTAATCTCTGCCTACCAATGCGATCTTACGTATCTTTATCGATGGTAGTTGGCCTAATGTCAGGTCTCTGTGCCATGACATCGGCTAGAATGCCACTAGACATACGACAAGAAGCAGCGTTCAGCAATCCAGTCCTATTCCAGGATCTTCCAGACATAGATGTTTTCCGCGTTGGCTCTGTCTACTACTACTCGACATCGACCTTCGCCTTTTCTCCTGGGGCACCGGTCTTGAAATCCTACGACTTGGTAAACTGGACACCCATAACGCACAGCGTTCCCGACGTTGCGGATTTTGGAGAGGAATACAGACTCAATGGCGATAATGACCGCGCCTATGTCAAAGGTGTTTGGGCGAGCTCAATGAGGTATCGCGAGTCTAACGACAAGTTCTACTGGATGGGCTGCATCCAGTCCACTGGCAAGACGTTTCTCTACACTGCTCCAGGTAATGGTGCTGCCGACAACGACGGCGAGAATGCCGATTGGGAATGGACTCTTCAAGGCACCATTGACGAGTGCTTCTACGACAATGGAATCTTCTTCGACGATGATGATACCATGTACGTGACATGGGGCAACCGAAAGCTCCGCGTTACTCAACTGTCCGATGATGGCTTGAGCGTTGTGCGTACCGAGACAATTTACGATAGTGGCGATGATTTATATCTTGAAGGGGCCCATCTCTACAAAACCTGAGGCTACTACTGGGTATGTCCTACAAAAGTTGCCAGCGGCCAATACATCCTTCGCTCAACTGAGCCGTTCGGCACATACGAAGTCCGGGAGTTCTGGGATAACCTTTCCGGGCCACTCCCAAATGCCGGATATGCTCACCAGGGCGGTATGGTGGACACTGCTGAGGGCGACTGGCATTACCTCGCCTTCATGGATGCATATCCCGCCGGCCGCATTCCTGTTCTGGCCCCTATCACATGGTCTGAGGATGACTGGCCATCAATTGTACTCGACGCCAATGGCGGATGGGGAGTGACCTACCCAATGCCGGTCAAGACAAACAAGACTGTTCCCAGTGTCGAACGTCTTGATGACTTTTCCGCATCAGCCTTGCATCCAGAGTGGGAGTGGAATCACAGCCCTGATGCGGAATACTTCGAGCTCGGGTCAGACGGCTTGACTCTCAAGACTGCCTCTGTCGTTGGGGATCTGTTTAATGCACGAAACACTCTTACTCATCGCATCACAGGCCCACGTTCTGTAGCGACCTGGCACCTCAATATCAGTGAACTCATGGAAGGTGATCGTGCCGGTGCAGCCATATTCCGCGACGAATCCGCATATATTGGCATGCACAAGGGCGCAAATGGCACCCAAATCGTGTTTGTGAACGATATCATCATGAACCAGCAGTGGCAGACTGTCAGTAGAGGCACTGTCGCAGCATCGGGACCCCTCATAGACGTTCACGAGATCTGGCTTCGTGTCGATGCTGATGTGACCCCAAGTTTCGGACTGTCTCCTGTGAGGGAAGCGCATTTCTACTACAGCCTTGACGGAGAGAATTGGAAGCAGCTCGGCATTTTTGTACTCCACAATAGATGGCAGTGGTTCACGGGCTTCCGGTTTGCCGTGTTCAACTTTGCGACTCTGAAGCTGGGTGGTCAAATCACCATTAAAAGCTTTCAAAATGCATTAAATTAAATCATTCTTAAAATATCTGAGATGCAGGCCCAAACACGCTATATAAGCTTTATCTCATGTCTATCTGCAGAAGAACGTCGAGTGGCCGCCGGCTGAATATTGGCTCGGCCGCCGGGCCACTGTTTCCGTTGACTGAACTAATCAGCAGCTATAATATCGGAGACCCCGCTTTCGCTCTAGACCTCTCTTACCGGAAACACTTCAATCACTAGGCGGTTATCAAGAGATCAACAAGGGAGGCTCTAGGTTTTCTTAGTAGAATTCGACGAATCGATGTTATGCGATGCGCCTTGGTGGCGGAGGCCTTCGAAAGGGAACACAGCGGGCCATTAGATAAGCGACCAATTATATCTTCTTACGGGAGGCTCCATGTCGGGAGATCGGAGGCCACCGTGGGGGCATGGGTTCGAGATCTTGAATAGCGCGTTGCCTGTGGACTATGTAACTATATTAGGTTAGCAGGCACGCGAGATTAATTCACATTGATCTGTGGCAAGTCCGTTTAAGCTGAGCAAGCTGAGGTTGGCTTTTCCGACATGATAAGAACAAATAAGACCCTCGGTTTTAGTCACACTTCAGCGTATCACAGAAGATAAGGTTCATAAATCTCACTGGCCAGGTTGGGACGGACGCCACGAATTAGAGTTGGGTGGCGATAAAGCTAAGCTGGATCCCTTCGGGCTTATCAAAAGGTCTTATGATTTATCGATTGCGGAGATAAGCTTTACAGCGTATTTTTCTGGGATATCAATCCCCAGACTCCCCTCATTCATTTCGCATTAAAACGCTTGGCATTTGTTTCCAACAGCTCGGTCTCTAGTGCACTCCCCTTGATTGACTTGGCGCTGTGCTTCGCTTTCCCTGCCTTACCCCAAGATGCAATCGGACGGCTCGGACACTAAGAATGGCTTCGGGGTCACTTCCGACTCGGAGCCGGGGCATGTCGGCCCGGTGAGGCGACGACGATTCGGATTCAACTTCAGCCTCGAAGTTGACCAGGAACCTAGCTCTTTTGCACCGTCCAAGAACATGTCCAATGCGGATTTCGATCCGATCCCGCCTTCGAAGCGAACCTGGAATTGGGGTGCCTATGTGGCTTATTGGATGGCAGATGCATGGGCTGTGTCGAACTGGGAAGTTGGTAAGCTTGCTACGTTGTGTATAGTCACAGGAAGAGCGCGAATTGTTAATGTTTTGTTGCGTAGCCTCATCTATGATTGCTGTTGGACTTAGTTGGCGAATGGCAATTGGAGCCTGTGTTCTTGGTAACTTGCTCATGGGTCTCGTCATTACAGCCAATGGAAGAATCGGAGCTATTGTAAGTTTCTCACATCGTGACTGTGGCTCCTTATCGACTGACGGACTTGTTCACAGCTGCACACTCCCTTCCCGGTTCTCTCCCGTATGCCCTTTGGCTACTACTTTAGCTACTTTGTTGTGCTGTCCCGCTGTGTCCTTGCCATTGTTTGGCTCGGGTAAGTGCATTTTATTCTGTTGCTGCTGTAAGGGTCGTGACTGAGAGATGTCTTATAGTGTGCAAACCACGACTGGAGGTCAATGTATGACCGTTCTACTGACCGCCATCTGGCCGAGCTTTGCCAACATCCCGAATCACATCCCAGAATCCGAGGGCATCACCACTGCAGGCATGTGTGGATTCGTGCTCTACTTCCTCCTTCAGCTTCCCTTCTTGTGTATCCCATACACCAAGGTACTACTCAATGCCACCTTTGTGAGCTGGACACTCGACTGATAATTGCAGGTTCAATACTTCTTCGCCTTCAAGAGTGTCATCGCTCCGATTGTCTTCCTGGCTGTCTTCGGTGACACATTGCATAAGGCCGGTGGAACAATTAGCCACAGCACTGTGATTTCCAAGGGCACTACCATTCACGGTGCTACTTTGGCATGGGCCTTCTTTAATAGTGAGCGAGGCAGTTCCAGTCTTCTCTTTCACCCACTGATAGCTGAAAACTTTAGATCTCAACGGAGTCTTGGGTAACTACTCCACGCTCGGTCTCAACATCGCCGACTTTTCGAGATATGCCAACAAACCAAGCGCTCAGAACGTGCAAGCTATCGTTATCCCGTTCATCTTCAGTACGACTATCATGTTCATGCACCCTATTCAGATTACTAATCAATGTCTCCAGCCATTGTCGGTCTCCTTGGCATTTTCACCGCAGCTGCTTCCCAATCAGCGTACGGCGAGGTTCTCTGGAACCCCATTGATATCATCAACTTGTGGATGAAATCTGGTTCCTCTGGTGGTCGTGCTGCAGCTGCCTTCGCCGCCATCGGCCTGATTATCGTAACGCTTGGTATCAATATTTCCGCCAACTCAATTAGCGCCGCCAACGATTTGATGGCTTTTGCTCCCCGATATATCAACATCCGACGTGGTCAAATCCTTGCCGCCGTAATTGGTAGCTGGGCATTTGTTCCGGTGAGTAACTGCACTTATTTATGAGTTGCTACAACAACTCATTCTCCAAAATAATGGCTTCGTGTTAACCAAATGACTGACCTTATGCTACAGTGGAAAATCTTGGCATCCGCCCAAAAGTTTATTGCTTTCCTCAACGGTTATACTATCTTCCTTGGTCCTATGACCTCTATCCTCATGACTGAGTACGTTCACCCTGGTCTTTGCCTCTCATAACGGTTCGCTGTCTCTAATCCTTCTTCAGCTACTACATTCTCCGACGAGGCAAAGTCTCAGTGCCGGACATGTACGACTTCCACGGCATCTACCGCTACTCGCAGAAATGGGGAACCAACTGGCGTGCTGTGGTTGCCTTCTTCATTGGCTGCACCCCGCCTCTTCCTGGCTTCATCGATAACATTGTCCAAGCAGGCGGGGGCCATACCGGTGTCTCGCTAGGAGGCCAACACCTGTAAGTCTTAAATTATAGCCTGCTCTAATGAATTCTGACTGAAATATGTGTATAGCTTCTACATCGGCTATGTCTACTCTTTCTTATCTGGTGGCGTCTTCTATTATCTCCTTAACCACTTTTTCCCAGCCCCTGAAAGTATGGTGGAATTTGCTATCACTGGTGAGGACATTATTGCTGCTCAAGACGCCAAGAACTTGGAGATCAAGAAAGCAGGATTTGCAAGCAAGGAGTCTGCTTAGATGAATCAACAGAGTATCGTAGTGAATACGAGCAGGCCGCGAGTCTGAAAATTGAAAGGATAAATCAGGGTTTTTATATTAAGATTAATACCGTCTAAATTAGGCGATATCTTTAGTTTCTCATCGCCTGAACAAGCTTGCAAAGCAAATACAGTTCGTTCCTCACCACATGTCGTCCGCTTTGTTGTGCACTTGTTTATCAACCTCGGGGCATCTAGACTACAGCTGATGCTTATCACGCGCCCCGCGCATGGCTTAATAATGACTTTTGTTTCCATCTCTATACCTATACCAATACAATATTCGAGGGCATAAAACTGGAAAGTTATAAAAAGTTTGCTCGGGTCTTGGTGTAATCTTACTATATGTTATACTCCTCCCATTAAGTCTGGCTAAAGAACGCCCAGCATCTTGAGGAACGCGTTGGCCATAAAGACTCGTGATTGATACAAGAACAGCCCACCTATACGGCCCGGTGGTATCTCGAAGTCGTAGTATTCTTTTACACGGGTCCCTCCTAAGGAATCCAGAAGCTCATTAACGTTCTTCATCCAGGGCTTGTTAATAAGATAGAGATTATCCGAGGCTTCCTCTTCGATGTCTTGGCGGCCTGGATTTCTGTCTGAAGCTTCCACCGTCGTTTTGTTAGCTAATCTGGTATCAACTTCTCCTGCCTGTTGGGCAACATCGCCAGGCCGTTCGGCTTGTAAATTAGATTCAAGTTTTGATGATACCTCTGAGTGTTGCGTTTGAGGTACTTCGACCCGGTGACACGTTCTGGGACGAAAGACATAGTCCCCAACGTTCACCCTCGTCGAGGGGGACATATCGCCCATGCGGCGTTCCATCATAGCCGTGAGATTCTGATATTGCTCGTTCTGTCGATCTTGACTCGACCATAGGTCCTCTCTCCGACTCACAATATTCTTCAGCTCCTGAACCTGCATCTTAGACTCTGGTATCCGGCCAAGATACTTAAGACATTGTACCCTCCTAGTGGTCATCCATTTTCTCTGTTCAAGTACACTTACTTCGTCAATGTTGGTCCCTCTGAACCTGCAAATATCGTTGGAGCACTGGTCAATCTTGTCGAGGACGAAGAGAGCGGTTTCCCAGTCCCCAGCGTTGAAGTACACCTATATTCCGCTTAGCCCTATAGCGAGGAATGATTGCTCTGTTCCAATTTGTTTTACCTCTGCCAATTTATCGTAGATGTCAAGTTGACTCCGAGTGTCATACCGCTGGATTGCATCACGTAAATTCTGATCAAGAGGCGGTAAATCTTGTTCCTGGTTGATGGAGGCACTATTCAGAGCTTCAAACGCGTCAACTAGTGTGTCCAAAGGCTTCAGAGGTGAGAAATCCTCGGATGAGTCGACAGAATACTAAGGGATTTAGTATACGTGCTGCACAAAACTCCAACAGAGGCAACATACCCTCGCACGGTTCTGATGATTCCGCCACGTCTGGGTCAGGTCCAAAACGAAGCCCAGTCTTCTGTAAGCGTGCGTTTTCCCCCAGACATCGGCAAAGGTGCGGAAGTTTGAAGGCAGGTCAAAATCTGATGAGACTTCGTCCCATAGATCCATCGTCTTTGGCATCCGTCCCTCTTCACAAGAGAGCTCACATTCTGTTAGAAACGATATCGATGTCGCCATGCTCAGTAGCTTGCGATACTCTTGGTCATCTAGGCTCGTCGGAAGTGCATCTTGCAGAATCATCAAGGCATCTTGGTAGATACTAGCAGTTCTTGGTGAAATATCGTAATAGTAATGGACGAGGAATTGCACTAATAGTGTGATGCGCAATATCTGGAAATCTGATAGCTTCCTCGCTCTGGCGCAGAGGCCCTGATCAACAATAAATCGCAGGCCTTCATTGCTTGTTGGTACAAACTCGGGGGCCATGGCATTCAGCGCTTTGAGAGTCAGGTCAGCGAACATGTCGACGGCGTGCTTGGGAATGTCTTTATGGAAAACATGAAATGAGCCAACAACCCAAGAGAGGTCGAAGAGTCCCGATGCATCGCTGTCGTTCTCGAGCTCTGGGATCATATGGCTCAGAACGGCTGTCAGATTTTCCCACTCGTCCTTTGGCTTGGACTTTGGTGTAGTCGGGGAGTAGAGGCCTGTTTTGATCCAGTCGATGCTTCGATCGTGGTAGTAGGCTGCTGCTCTGCGCCAACTAGAGGTGACGTCTTCTTTTGGCCAGGGCTGATTCCGCGCGAACTGAGAAAATAGGGGATGAAGCTGGAGAGGACCAGTGGATGCTCTTACTCCTTCCGTACTTGTGCAACCCGCTTGGACCAATGTCTGTCTGGCAGAGAGACCAAGTCGGTAGATTGCAGAGATCTTGGACAGATAGTCTTCTGGCACCGAAGTGGTGAAGGGGATGAAAGCTTTCAGGATGTCAGGGTGATGTTCTACTAGAGGCTTCCACAGCAGGAATAGCTGCTTGACAGGGAAAGCCTCCCAGTCCAGGTCCAAGCTTCCCGTCTTCAGATGCCAGTAAACTTCGCGAGACTCACAGCTTACGGTCACTGGAAGTACAATTTCGATTGCCAGTGGGTTATGCTGGAGGAGCATAAGAATGCTCTGCCGGTACCAGAGTGCTGAGTATGATTCTTCCTTAGGCTGTTTGCCACTGACAAGATTCTCTGCAAGGTTTGAGGCAGAAACCGAGTTCAAGCTTTTTAATTCGTAAGCGAACTGTCTGCCGGGCTTCGTCTTGGATAGCTTGCGACGGAATGAGGATAGAGACGTTAGAGATGAAATAAGAACGAATAAAGGAATGGCGTCCTCGTCTCTCTCAAAGATGGCGAGCTTTGAACAGAGTTCTGCTAACCAGTCTGTGCTGTCCTCCACGTTTTCGACGACGAGTAAAGTAGCTTGTCTGAACATAGTTTGAAGCATGAGATCTTCGACCTCACATGTCTCCATTCGTTTCGTTTCTATTGCAGAGTCGGCTTGGCGGCAGATGGTTGCAAGAACTGATTCTAACGATGAGGTGTCGGAGGAGCAATCCACGTGGAAAACATGGTTAATTAGACGGCTCTCAAGGAGCCATTTGCTCAAGTTGTTTACCAGGCATCGTTTCCCTATTCCATGAGGCCCATAAACGATACAGACACGATTCCTTAATAATGAGTTCTCTACCTGGAGCATATCGAGTTCCCGGCCAAAGAGATTATCGGATGGCGTTGATACGCCTGCTGGTGTCTCAGAGGACGTTTTCAGAAGTCTCACCGAATGCTTGTGCAGTTGACGGTCACTCGCATACAGCACAGGTAAAATATCGTCGTGCAAGGAAATCGGGAGCCCGAAAAGGTCACTGGTCCGCTCCTTGTTCATCCTCAGCTTTGCGCGGGCTTCATAAACTGCAAGGAGAATATTCCGCGTATTCCACAAAAGACAGTCATGCAAGGCTGATGTGAATATCTCTACAGCAGTATGTGTTACCTTAAAAGCCATCCCGAGTACGTACGGCACGCCGTGGGAAGCTAACTGGTGCGCAAAGTTGGCTGTTGACGAGCCTGTTGTGGAAGCACTCTGACACGCATTCATGATAACTAGCTTCACTCTGTTGACAAAGAGAGCTTTTCCGATATCGTTAGCACTGACTTCGACAGTGTAATCGTCATCCGGATCTTGTAATAAGAGAAATGCTCTAATGTAAAAGGGTCAACGGTGATGCACAGATGTTATGTACTCGAGAGACTTGCCTCCCATTCCGAACTACGCCATGTACATCTAGGTGCACAATATCATAATCCTTTTCACAGAGACATCTTAGGAACTCCTTCAGTGTCCCCGGGCGGGCAATGTCCACAGACACTGAGCCCGAAGAGTCTTGACCAAGTTTCTGAAGTAAGGGCCTTGAAGTCAGTCGAGGGTCGATTGCGTCGTTCTTCCCCCTTGCGACTACAAGTAGGACATTGATGCTTTTCTGTATGTCGATGTGCGTTGGCGCTCGTTGTAATCGTGTTCTTTCGCCCGTCGCGATGCGACATACTGTGACTTTAATGTCGGTCTTCCATATTTCAGGTGATTCGAGTGCTTCCCAATGGATCTTGGAGAGCTCTGTTCCTTCCACTATTTCAAATACGATCCGCCTGAAACCTAACTTCCATATGGAAGCATTATCTATCTGTAGCTCCTCAAGTAGAAGAGATGTCTGAGAGTTGATAAGAACTCTGGCATTATCGGCCCTTAGGGTCAAGAAAGGATCTCTAGGATATCGCTCGAAATACCATTCGATTTCTTTGTTCGACCTGGGAACTGATATGAGTCGTGTGAGGGGAGCCTGGACAGCTGTTGTGTTGGGCTGAATTCCTGCAGGATGATGAAAGGAGATAACAACCTTAACCTTGCAGCCGTCGCCGGGGAGAGGGACAGAAGCAACCTCTTCGACAGCAATGAAGACTGTAAGGTCCATACTGGGACTTTCTACTGACTGGAAGTCGTGGATAATAGAAATCAACGGCGTCAGATCTAACCAGTTACAAGTCGTGACACCAGAATGGCATGCGGTGTCCAAACTAAAACCAAAAGCTCTCAATGGAGGTGCCAGGTCTTGAGCTACGTCCCGTGCACAATTGAAGTGAAATACCATCGTTCCAAGCCATAAGCACTAGGGGTCAGAAGACTCCCCACTTAGCCCCAGTAGCGTGCCGCAGCTGAAAATTAGGTACTTTGTATTGTCTACTTCCGCCTACAAACGGAGGACGCACTGATTGGTCTGAACTCAATTGAGGGTTCAATCAAGCCCCAGCGATGTCATGACATTCCCGTCCCTCGCTTGCAGCTCAACCTCGTAGCTCGGTGACAAGACAACTTCTCCCTTCTCGTCATCATCTAAACCATCGGACATGCAGACCTCCCACTCCTTGACCTCTTGGGTGTCCTTTTCTGAGTAGTAGAGTTAGACAGTAGTAGCACAAATGAGAATTTCATGTAGCATGAACTTACTATCTTGTGGCCCAAACATCATATCCTCCGACCCTCGGATATCCAGACTCTTTCTCATCGTGATTTCGCCTTTAAGCAGTCTGGCTAGAATTAGCCCTTTACGCTGCAGCTGACGGTACCGAATGGCAATAATCGACTCGCCAGCATATGTGGCGCTCCAATCTACCGACTTGTCGCTCTGATTCCGCCATTCGACGGAGATGGACGGTAGCTCCACTGGTACGCCCCCAACACCAAGAATGGCGGCTTCTAGCGCCTTTGTGATCGATGTGTCGAATCCAGCACTGGAAGTCTCGGAATTGGTAACATGGCATGAGGCATTGACGATAGTCACGAACCCCGTGATCATGTATAGGTGCCTGCTGTCGTCGAGCCATTGCTCTGCTTTCTCCTTGAATTGTGGATCAAGCAGCATCTTACTGAGAACTTCTCTCTCCTGGGGCAGGTTGAAAACGCGAGCTAGCTCCCCGAACCAGTTGGCGGTGGGCTTCTTTGCCTTCTCCCTCTCCACGGACAACAGGTCTTCGATGAGAAAACGAGCAAAGGCCGTAGTATTGCGGCCAAGAAGGATGGAGGTAGACCGCGCCTTGATATGGAAGGGAGCCGCAGTGCTGCTGTAGAAAGACGAGGGGTCCTCAGGGAAGTAATTGGCCCATGGCTGATTTGGGCTGTCGCATACACGTCCCAGTAAGGTTGGGATAAACTGGCTGGGGAGAAGGTTCTTTGGGTCCAGAAGAAGGAATTTATCGCTGCTACTCATGGTGTAAAGGATCTATGAAGTCCAAAATGTGAATTGGGTCCGGAGTGCTGCGGATAACTAACCACGCTTACAGGCTATGGATTCTGCCTTGTTGGGCAACCTAGTTAATATACACCTCTAGAAGTTCCACATTATGAAGGGCGCTTTTACTTAGCGATAGGTGCCGAGCCAAAGTCACCTTGCGTATTCAGCTCGTCCTCAGGTGGCGTTTGTGGCGTGATTTGGGTAACATTCACTGCAACTAAAAACGCCGTGGCTTATCGTCGGAAGCAATATCAACTCGCCGGATCCAGCATTGAAAACTTTGGCTAGCAAAATCTGGCCCATCAACAACATTATGACAGGGACGGCCTGTTGAACTTGCGAAAATGGACGCTTTTAATCAGGATCTTCTGGCAAACCTCTCTGCCGCCGATCACCTAGACTTACTGGAAGCTCTGACGTTGGATGACTCTGACGGAGGCTCGAGTCTACAAAATGGTGGGCCTGCAGGAATTACTGACGATGGTAGTGGAGGTAAAATCGCATCACACAAGGTCGCTGTCGCTATGTCGGACATTTTCAGACAGACTGTACGAAACGAGCCCATTGTTAAGGCAGCAATCATTGGAGACATACCCAAGCTAAAAGATCTACTTCAGCAGCCTGGTGTTAATGTCAATGTCAGAGACGGTATTGGAGACACAGCACTCTTCGCCGCTGTCTGTCATGACAGGGTCGATGCTGCAGCCCTCCTACTTGAAGCGGAAGCAGATCCCAGTATCCAGAGCTTTGACTCGTGGGCAGCTCTTCACGCCGTGAGCCGTAGCGGTAACGAAGAAATGGCTGCCACACTTCTAGACTGGAAAGCCAACACTGAGGTCGTGGATGAAGCAGGCTGGACTCCGCTTCACGTGTCCAGTCTCTATGGGACCAATCTCATCGCAGATCTTCTGCTTGAGCGAAAAGCAAATCCGAACGCGCAAGCGTTAGACGGTCTAACCCCTCTCCACACTGCAGTGGACTTCGGACACAGAGACGTGATCCTGAATCTCATCAAACATGGCGCCCGGCTAGATGCCAGAGACTATCACGGACAAACACCACTTCATATAGCATCTATGAAGAGGCCGTTTCCTCCTCCTGTAGCCCTCCTGCTAGATCTCGGGGCAGATCCTAAGCTAGCAGACGAAAAAGGATATACAGCTCTTCATTTTGCGGTTGAAGCGGGCCATGATCCATCCCTGGCCGTTACTCCCCTGCTCCAAAGAGGCGCCGATCCGAATACTGCCACCACTGGCGGCTGGACACCGCTTTTGTCGGCGGTTCATCAGATGACTAAACCAGGCGACCATCGCGAGGCCATCCTCGAGACCTTACTCGAAGAAAGTCTTACTGATACAAACCGCATATCAACCATCTCTTCTGGCGGTACAACACCCCTGATTCTAGCTGTTCAGGTCAGAAGCCAGCGAGCAGTTCAACTTCTCACAGACCATGGTGCAGACATTGCCCTTCCAGTAGAGAGGGACGGGCAGCGTATCACTCCTGCTCTCCAAGCTGCCGCGTGCCATAACCCAGAAGAGGTCGAGATCCTTCGGTACCTGCTCGCGGATGAAAATGCCAAGGATAAGATGGAGGGCGACATCAGCCTGGCCCATATCACTGCCCTTCATGGGCACATTGACTCTCTGCGACTCCTGCTCGGATACGGTATAGATGCCAACGCAGCTGACGTGGAGGGAAGAACACCATTACACTTTGCCGCACACCATAGCCACCCGGAGTGTATCTCGCTTCTTCTAGCACACGGGGCAAACATCAACGCCAAAGCCAGCAACAGAAGCACCCCCCTACATGAAGCCGCGAGCAACGCAGATGAAGAGTGTGTCCGGCTGCTACTAGATGCAGGGGCTGATATGTTGGTTAGATGCGAAAGAGGAAGCTTGCAGTCACCCATAGATATCATGAGGGAGAAGCTCAAATTGGAGGAGGATGAGAATGTGCAGAAAAGGTATCTATGCATTTTGACCATCATGATAGAAACCCTGGCCGAGAGAGATCCGCGAGTGGGAGAGGTTTCGCAGGATCGACGAGAGGGTTGGAGTATTGAAGCACTGCAGCAATTTAGTCTGTCTGGTGAGGACGAGAGACCACGTCGGCCAACAGTAGCAGAGCTCAGGGAAAGATATCAGCCGAGGTTTAACACAGAAGCAGGACATCATTAGCTTTTAATAAAGACAGGGATTTAATTTTAAAGCATTTTAAAGCATTTGAAGGATAATTAACAATCAGGTTATGGATATCTAATATCACCAGCTACAGTACTATGTGTTGATTTTCTTTCCTATAAGCTATTACTCCTTGATATTGGCTATAGCCTATATCTGAATGACTTGTTTTCCCGATCTGTCAGATCTTCCAAGCCGTGACTGTGGTTGGGAGAGCCATAAGTTGTATCGCGATGCTTGTTCTCCCGATCAAGTAACCATCGGAGTGCAAGGGCAGCAAAGACACAGACCGTAAAGCAAATCATGATCCCAGTGAATGATTCGTCATAACGAGGGGCGAATTTCCTATGATTGTCAGCAAAAGTTCTGTTATTTGTATTCACAACTGTCGTTCACTTACGCATCAAACATGAGAGGACCAATAATGTTTCCAAGGCAGTAACCAATGAACGTCGAAGCAGCATACACAGCTTTCTTAGTATGCCCGGCGACATTGGAAGTCCCCAAGCCAATGCACTGGACCCAGGCAGAAGAAAAGAAGTTGACAAGATAGAAGCCGATGATGCGTCCTGCTTTCTTAGAGTCTGGAAGTTGCCATATCAGGGAACAACCAAGAATGACAGGAAGACATGCTCCGGCGATGATATACAACCTTGAGTTCGGAACCTTCCTACCAATATACCCTGAACCGAGAATGCAGATGAAAGCGAGGGCTCCAATGGGCAGGTTGAGCAACAGCGAAGTAAAAACGTCAAATCCCATATCCTTGAATACAATGGTTCCAAAGGTTGTGACAGCACCGGAGCCTGTGCAGGACACAATAGACAGAATCATGATACCCCAAAGCCGATAGTCGAATAAGGCCTCCTTGAACTGGTAGGACTTGAAATGCTTATCCTCAGTACCGGCATTATTTTCTCGAACTCGCTCTAGGAGAAGGTGGCGCTCGGCTTCTGTAAACCCTTTGGCATGCTGAGGGCTATCGGGGAACAGCCACCAAAGTGCAATACCCCAGGCCAGAGTCGCAAGTCCGGCGATGATGTACATCCACTGCCAGGAGTTGAGAACGCCTCCTTTGATGTGGCCAAGTCCGTAGTTGATCAAGGGTGAGATAAGCAGAGATCCTCCGCTGCAGGAATACCACCAACTAGATCGCGAGACCTGCTCCGAGTGGGTATACCAGAGGCCTACGACGAGCATGAAGATAGGTGATACACCTGCCTCGACAAGACCAAGCATAAAGCGATTGATAAGAAGTCCGGTATAGGAAGTACAGGCCGGTGTGCAAAGTATCACAAGAGACCATATAATGCAGATGGCCGTACAGACGATTCGAATGGGGTATCGTTGGGCGAGAAATGAGGCGGGATAAGTACCAGCGATATAGCCAAAGTAGAAGATAAGAGAGACCCAGGAGTACCTGATGCCAGTGGTGAGTTTTAGGTCCTCTCGCAGGCCGAAGATGGCGGCCTGGCTGAGGATGGCCTTGTCGTAATACTGTAGGGCGTAGGTAAAGCAAAGCTTCCAAAGTCAATTTTAGATCATACAGCCAGGTAGATATGTCTTACCACGGGCATCAGTTTTCGATCGATCTTCCGAAGCAACTTTCTGTTCGTCTCTTCATCAAGCTCAACACTGGCTCCAATCACTGAACTTGGGACAGTCTCAAGATTCATGGCAGAAGATTTGCTATCAATGCTGGCCTTGGAGCTAGCTTCATTCTCTTGACGTGTCATGGTTGTGATCGTCGGTGACATAAGGTAGTGGATTGTGTCGGAAGTTCAAACAGGTATGAAAGCAGCAAAGGCGACGAAAGAAAGGCCTTGCCACGATGTTTGTCGGAGGTTAGCTGGGCAGAGTGGATTGATGTCGTGGGTTTATATAATTAATGGCAGTTGCCTTGACCGCACCAACCCCAGATCGATACCCCAGATCCCATTATTTCAACTGATTATACACTTGCCGCGCATTACCCCAGGTCGAATCACACCAATCCGACAGTTGAATACCACAGCGGGGTACAATCCCGAGACTCCACAGATATCCGAGCCGGTCGGATATTGAACAGGCTAGTCTGTTCTGGGAATATCCGAGCCCGCCATTTGCCTCGGCGTCTGTTTCCCTGATTCAACCAATTCCGATTTTCAGCAAATGGGGTAGAAGTCGTTTCACTTGGATATTACCCTCAGACGCACGAGATAAACCAACCCTTCTACTTATCTTATGGAAATCTTTTTACAGCTATTAAGTTCCCAAAGATCGACAAAACACCGTGCTAACTACATTTACACCAAACAATAAAAACATGGTCATCATATCGACCATTTATTCGAGCTTGTCCCGACCGTCATTGTCAGCTCTGTCAAGGCGATGTACCCCTCGCCGTCAAGCTCTTTTATCCGCAAGACATGTTTCTTCCAACGCGCAATCCAGTCGGCAGAGACATTATCCTCTAGGGTACTTTCTATTGGGATTAGGAGTCGCTGTGAGCGGCATGGCTCTCGCACCGTCGAAAGGCATCGACTTACTCAGGAAGCCAGCAAATGGCACACCTTCCAGATGGAAAGAAAGCGACAGCTCACTTATTTCGGTGAAAATGGTGTATGCGGATAGAGCAACTATGTTGAAGGTACGCTAATTTGGAGACTGTAAATGCTACTAAACACGGGTTGCTGACAGTTTAGGCTGTGGATGAGATACGCCAATTACTTGGCGAAAGCATCGTGAGCGTGGACTCGGATGACCTTGATGAACATGGCTATTCAGAGTGGTCCACGTCAAATACTGACGTACGACCAGTGGCAGTTGTCCGACCACAGACGACAGAAGAGGTCTCGAGTATTGCCCGTATCTGCACCAAGTACAAAGTGCCGATAATTCCATACGGAGCTGGATCCAGCGTTGAAGGCAATTTCAGCTCCCCCCATTCTGGAGTATGTCTTGACCTATCTGGCATGGATAGAATCGTGGCTTTTCACCCCGAGGACATGGATATCGTGGTCCAGGCTGGTGTCAATTGGACCAATATGAATGAAGAAATCAAGAATACTGGTCTCTTCTTGCCACTTGACCCCAGCCCTACTGCATTGATCGGTGGCATGATAGCTACGAACTGCAGTGGTACCAATGCCATGAGATATGGAACCATGAAGGACTATGTTATTAACCTCACAGTAGTGCTCTCAGATGGATCTGTGATTAAAACACGTCACCGACCTCGGAAAACATCAGCTGGATATAATATTACAGGTCTTTTTACCGGATCTGAGGGAACACTGGGTATAATCACTGAAGCAACTTTGAAGCTAGCCATAATTCCCGAGAACTTTTCTGTTGCAACAGCCACTTTCTCAACTGTCAAGGAGGCGGCGGATGCTGCATTTAAGATGATGCGACGGGGAATACCCCTCGCTGCCCTGGAAATGATGGATGATGTTCAGATGAAAGTCATTAACCAGAGCGGTGGAGCAGGCGGAAGGCTATGGGACGAACATCCTACGCTTTTTCTGAAGTAAGTAGCAAGCAGCTACTATTTGTCCCTGAATACATCCTGATACTAATCAAAACGCAGATTTTCAGGCTCCCAGAATGCAGTTCAAGACAGCATCAAATCGGCCAAAGAAATCGCCAAGTCCAACAGTTGCCGTTCCTTCGAATTTGCCAAAACAGAGGATGAGATGCAGTCCCTTTGGTCTGCCAGAAAACAAGCTTTGTGGGCAAACCTCGCTGTCCGACCCGAGGGCACCCAGATTTGGTCCACAGATGTTGCTGTCCCTCTGTCTCGAATGGCCGAATTAATTGGTGAGCGGCATGATCCTTACAAATGGGCATGAGCTAACACGGTAACTATAGAGATATCAAAGCAAAAGGCCAGCCAACTAGGACTTTTCAATAGTGTTCTGGGACATGTCGGCGACGGCAACTTTCACCAGGTCGTCATGTACAACCCAGATGATAAGACGGAACGCCAAGCTGTGTCGGATTGCGTGGATGGGATGATGGTGAGAGCACTGGAAATGGAGGGTACAGTATCAGGCGAGCATGGGATTGGACTGGGGAAAAAGGTGACTATGTTCTTGTCTCGATTCGTCTTATTCCAGCTAACAGACTTAAGCATTGCTTACAGAAAGAGCTCGGCCCAGCCACGATAGGTATCATGAAAGCTATCAAAGACACATTGGATCCCCAGTAAGTACACAATAAAGACAGCCACGCGATGAATCGTGGAAACCTACTAAGTCTGTCGTTTAGTTGGTTATTAAATCCGGGTAAGGTGTTTGACCCGTGAAAACAAAAGTATTGTAGGAATCTCGAGGTCTCTCTCTTGTGCTAAGAAAATGGGAAAATGTATGTCGGTTGGCAAAGACTGGATATAGATGCATAAAGACTGTATATACGCTGCTAGCAAGAACCCTTTGTCAAAGACTTAACTGACAAATTCACTCAATTTGTTTTTCTCGTGCTGGGCAGAATTGCATGCTTATCATGAGGGAGAAATGAAGGCAAATGTAAAACAGAGCGCCTAGTCCGTTGTCAACTGCGTACCTAATCAGGCTAGTCCAGAGCATCACAAGTGCAGTGCGGGGTTGGAGTTGATCGACCCTACTCGGGGCAAGCTTCCCCCGGATATTCAGAAGGGCCGGAGCCAAGAATTGTATCCGAACTGTGAGGATGTTTCCCTCCCTACCACTAGCCGAACTCCGAAGTATTCACCCAAGTCTTCCAAGCGGCAGTCCGTCAGGCATTTGTTATAGTACGGTAATATGCAGTAACAGTGCTCGGATAACCCAAAAATGGCGGACCACAATGACAGCGGCAGCTGGCAGGGTCTGCAGCTTGGCTTCGTCCCCATCAACCAAGCAAATTCACCCCCTGAATCTAAACGACGCCGCGCGTACTTATCTTGCGAACGATGCCGTAAGCGCAAAACTCGCTGCGAGCCAGCATCAGATCAGAAGCAGCCGTGTAAGCGATGCTCAGCCGACAATCAGCCTTGCGAGTTCAGAGCGTCGCGACGCACCAAAAGAAGGCTGTCGCTTCCAGGCGAAGAAGACACCGAGTCAGTGTCGCGTCGCAATCATACGGGTATTGATGTCGACATCCTAGCTTTGACACCACTTGCGTCTCGAAATGCTCCGGTTCATCCTCTCAATGAGAAGGAATACATGGATGACATACCCATGGCCGACTGTTCCCATGAACCAAGGTCTCCAACCGCCCTCGACGCAAGAGCACGGATTATTTCTACGCATATAAATAATGCATCAGATGCCCTTGATCTTCTCACATTTGCTGCGAGCGGTACCCATGCCTACAACAACCCTTCTGCCACGCCGAGCCGCGAAAGCCAAGTCCCATCAATTACCTCTCCGACTGTTGCCTCAGATGTAGCCCTCAGTCTGGACAGAGCGTGGAAAGGCTTCTCCCTTATTAAAAAGGGAATAGTATCGCAACAAGAAGTTATGGACTACCTAGGCTTCTTCTTTAATCAGTTATGGCCTCTAAAGCCAGTTGTACCGTCTTACTACCGCAACCGGGCCACTTATGGTCAGCTTGTTACTGAGGAGCCTCTTTTAGTGGTCTGTCTCGTCACGCTCTCCTCGAGATATTTTCCACTGCCTGGAGACCATGGCGAGATTAGGTCAGAGCGTATACACTGGCAAGCGTGGAGGATCCTGCAGCGATCCCTTCAGTCCGTCATGTGGGGGTCTACGACGACGCGTTCTCTCGGCGCGATAGCGTCGATGCTGCTTCTGATTGACTGGCATGTTAAGGCCATAAATAATCCATCTGACTTCACAGAGGGAGAGGACGAATCTCATGAACAAGTCGATAGTCATGGCTTCAAGCCTTCGACCAACAACACAGACTCACTCACTGGACAGCGACGGTATGGGATGGTATCACTGATGGAGAGGCTAAACATAGTATCACCGGCATACCGAAGCAACAAGATGTCATGGTAAGCATATGAATTGTCCAGTTGGCTTACCCATCTCAATCGGTTGTGCTCATGACTCTCAAATAGGAGTCTTCTTTCAAACGCTATTGCTTTAGCACACGAAGGCTGCTGTTTCCAAAACGAATCCTCTAGATCCAGACTTACCTCCTCCAATCCGGACTCTATCAGACAAGAGTGGAATAGTCTTCTCTGTGTTTTCATATACCTCGCTGATGAAGGTCTCGCAACTCGACTTGGCCTAGAGCCCTTGTTGCCCGACAGGTCGAGACAAATAGTCAAAGATCGATTCGCAACGACATTCACTGAGTCTTTACCCAACAGTCACCTCTGGGAAGGCTATTTTGAACTCTCCATAGAGACTCGAAAGGGGAGAGATTTCCTGCTCTCATTGAAATCCAGAGATGGGTCCTTTTCTGACTTGGATCTCGTCCCTCATTTGGAACGTTTACGAAGAGCCCTGCGTCGCTGGAGACGACAGTACTATGATCAAGATGGTAGGTTCAAGGAACGATGAGATATATCCCAGCTCACCATTCCCAGATGTCAATTCTTTATTGAGTGCCTGTCTTCTCATTGAGTTTTACTACATAAACCTGTTTTGCTTCGCTCCGGCAGCTCAAGCCGTCCAAACTGGCTCCGCCTCCCTGCCACAAGAAACACTTCAAGCCTTATCTGAGTTCGAGGATCAAGCAAGACAGGCCAGCCACGCACTTCTATCAATAGTCGTGGATTTTCTAAAACCTTCAGGACTCATCAAGTATCTCCCGGTTAGATGTTGGCTATTCATTGTTGCTGCAAGCCTTCATCTACTCAAGGTATATTGTAGATTCTAGCAGAAAGGTATTTCTGTACAGGACTAACGAGTATAACATAATAGGCAACTCTTACAAAAGCCAAGGATATAAATCGAGCACATCCAAACATCTATCTTCTACACCGCGTTATCAATGCAGTCCACAATGGCTCCCCAGATGACTCGCATATGGCAATCCGATATGCCAAGTTTCTGGGCATTATGGTACAGATAGCTGTTCCTGCCCCGTCGAGAAGTCCCACTACGGCACCAAGAGCAAGAAATGGAGAAGTCAGTATTGGTGCTGAAAATCAGGCAGAGGACGACAACGGGCAAGTCGCCTATCCTTACTCGTTTCATGATATAGCGGTTGAGGGAGTAAGTGACTGGAATGCTCTTTTGGACTTAGACCTAGCTCCAGATCTTTTCATGTGGTGGGAGTCTATGCATAGCTAGTTTAGTTCTCCCTGAGTTCCTTGTTCTTTTGGTGCCACTTGAGATTATCCTGCTATGTTGTATGGCAGCCCGAACTTGAAAAACAGTAGATGGGAGGGACATCCCAAGAAGACGGTACCGGACTGGTCTGAAGATAAGAACTTGACAGAGCGGGACCACTCTACTGACTCCTGGCTCGGCAAAAGCAACACGACGTTACGTCAGATACTATACCTGAAGAAAATATCTCTAAGTATAAATACGCCCACTAAAGATGCTGATAAGAGCCTACTTGTCATCTGATCAATATTGTCATACTATGGCTTTGTAGTACTAAAGTTACCAGTGCCTATAATATCACCATCTTCCTCCTTACCGCTCTGTGCCCGGTCAATTCGAAACTGGCTTGTCTGGAACAAGCGAGGCAGTGTTGTCTCCTCAAACTGAGTCCCTTGGGATACCATCCGAGCCAACTCTTTAGCTGCCAGCCAGATGACAGGCATGCCGTGTCCATTAAACCCAGCTACGATGAATTGCCCATCCTTGCTGGGAACTTTACCAATGTGTGGATTTGAGTCATATGAGTAACCCATCACGCCAGTCCAGATATTGCTCACTTTGGCACCAGTCTCTTCCCAGCCACGATAGGTTTGCTGCATGTAGTCCTTGTAGTAGTCCTTTGCAGAGTCAATAAGGACACTGTCGTCGACATTGTCATACCACTGTTCCTTAAATGGCCGGAAAACAGATGAAGCACCACCTACAATGATACTTCCGTCGTGTCTAGGGATAAAATATGATAGTGCGTTATCTTTGGTGCGGTTGATGTACGAGTTGTTCAATAACGGCGCTGTAGTTCCCTCTGGGACGGTGATACGACAGCAAATGCCCTTACAGGGGATGATGTTCTTGCTGTATTCCGGGAGAAGCGCTGAAACATAGGCGTTGTTGGCGTGTATCACCTTTCCTGCTCGTATCTTCCCACGCGGTGTCTCGACGATGAACGATCCGTCACCCGAGGGATCTGGCGTCACGGAAGTGACAGGTGTATGTGCCTGGATGTTGACGCCTGCGGCAAGGAGTTTTTTTGTGAGATGCATCAAGAATTTGAAGGGCCACATGGTCCCGGCCGTGAAGCTTGCGCATGCAACAGCGCCTTTGACACCGCAGATCTATTCCACGATAACTCAGTCAGTACATAACTCCAAATACATCTTTGTGCCGCACGCAAAGCAATCTGGGCTGGTGTTTGGGCCACTTACGCCTTCGACTTTATCGCCTGTATAAAACACAACATCATCCATGTACTCAAAGTTGTGAGACACCATTGATTGGTAGACGGCCTCTGCCTTCTTGGCCGAGTCTTCGTTACACCAGACATCAATGGATCGGGTAAGAGTGAAGTCGCAATCAATCTTCTCTTCATCAATGATCTTCTTGATGGCGCGCAGGTTAGCAATCTCAAATTCGGCAATCTCAGCACCAGCGCGCTCGCCAGCTCGATCTATGTAGGTAGGAATATGGCCGTAGAGGTCTGGCCTGCAGTGACCCCCATTGCGACCAGTTGCACCGGAGCAGATTCCCCTGGCCTCGAGGATACAGATAGACGTGGTGCCGGCATCGCGGACGAGGTGGTGCGCTGTGCTGAGGCCTGCGAATCCAGCGCCGATGATGACGATGTCGCTGTAGTCGAGGAGCTGCTCTGAAGAGCGGTGATCGCGCAGCTCAGTCAAATCTTGTGGCAATTCTTGTTGCCAGAAGCATGGTGCTGGGTCCGGTGTGGGCATGCACTTGGGCGTGCCGGCGGTGCGAGATGTGTTTCCGTTTGAGATGGCCATGACTGCGCTAGGATGTGATGAAAGTTTGCTTACAGGATCAGGTTGAGGTATCTCAGGTATGTTTTGTATAGAGGCTATCAAGAGGCGTACACTGTTCTAGTTTAGCTGAACTTTATTTAGAGGATTGTGCTCACGACTATCGATTTCGCTGGAATTTGTCAGCTTGATTGGGGACAGGTTGTATACAGTTAGATAGACCGGAGTCGGGACCCACCGGGCCGGCGTTACCCAATCTGGACAAATCGCTCCGGGTCCGGTGGACAATGCCGCTAACGCTATATCGCTCACCACGGTGGGAGTACCATAGCATGGAGGATTGCAGGGCCCTACACTTTCAGAGTCAAAGACAGCCAATCTGGTCTCATCGTGCTCTTGATATCTCCATAGCCGGTCGACCCCGGTCTGATCTGCACCCTATCGCCCCAGCCAGAACTTCCCCAGACCTGCCTATGGCACTAGGCCTACCTTACTGATAAGCCGTGGCCAATCGTGGCAGACATAAAAACGTTTCGTAATACAGGGAAACAAATACTTGAGATCCTCGATTCATCTCGCTTCTCAGAGAAACTATCTTGAGTTGACTCAATATCTTTTCTCTGCTCTGGTTGCTTCTGCAGCAGTCTCCAATTCCGCCTCCTTTCCTGTGTTGGCAAAAGCCAGATGTCAACTCACGACACTTCGTCCCAACTTCTCAAAGTCGACATTATGCCTTCGGAAAAGAAACTCGGTGATCCTGTCACAGATACACGGCGGGACAGCGACGTCGAAAATATGGCTGGAACGGTCGTTGAGTCTCACGAGCTCAGGCAAGGTCTGCACCAACGACATATCCAGATGATTGCACTGGCGGGCACAATTGGCACTGGCTTGTTCCTAAGCTCTGGTCGAGCCATTGCCTATGCTGGTCCACTCGGTGCCTTCCTGGCATACCTGATCATTGGCTTGGCTGTTTCGAGTGTCGTCTGCGGCGTTGGCGAGATGGGTGCTCTGGCGCCCCTCAGTGGTGGTGTTATCCGTTACGCCGAGCTCTTCTGCGACCCTGCTCTTGCGTTTGCCAACGGATGGAATCAGGTCTACTCATACATGGTCTCTATCCCCGCCGAGATCGTAGCGGCGGCCGTTATCATCGAATACTGGGTTACCATCAACAGCGCCATCTGGATCACCGTGCTCGGCATTCCCATGATTGTCAGTTCGCTGCTGGCTGTGCGCGTCTACGGCGAGCTCGAGTTCGGCTTCTCCATAATCAAGATCATGCTCATTGTTGGCGTCAACATCATGGCTCTAGTCATCACCTGCGGCGGCGGTCCAAAAGGCGAGGCCATCGGCTTCGAGTACTGGAAAAGCCCATACGGGCCCATGGTTCAGTACCTAGGCATTGCTGGGTCGCTTGGCCGGTTCCTGGGCTTCTGGAAGACACTTAACAATGCGCTTTACGCCTACTCGGGCATAGAGAACATCACACTGGCTGCGGCTGAGACGAGGGACCCTCGTCGGTCTATCCCCATGGCTGCCAAACGTATCTTTATCCGCATCGGCCTCTTCTACGTCGTGACCATCTTCATGATCGGCTTGGTCGTCCCGTCCACCGACAAGAAGCTAGTACCATGGACGGGAGACGCTTCCATGTCGCCATTTGTCATTGCTGCTCAAAACGCAGGTATCAAGGCTGTGCCGTCCATCGTCAACGCTGTCGTGCTCACTTCGGCCTGGTCAGCGGGTAACTCCAACATGCTTGGAGGCTCCAGAATCCTATACGGAATGGCAGCTCAAGGCCAAGCCCCGTCCATTTTCCTGCGTATTAACAGATTCGGTATCCCCTATGTCGCTGTTTCCCTCTATGGTCTCTTCATGGCCCTGGGATATATGACACTGTCCGACTCGGCTAGCACAGTCTTCACCTGGCTGCAGGATCTCGTCTCCATCTCTACGCTGGTCAACTGGATCACCATCTGCATCGTCTATTTGCGATTCGTCCATGCCTGCAACAAGCAAGGAATCGATCGTCAAAAGGAGCTCCCTTGGGCCGCTCCTTTCCAGCCCTATACCACCTACGCCTCTCTTGTCTTGTTTGTTCTGCTTTTCTTCACTGGCGGCTACACGACCTTTTTGCACGGCCATTGGGAGATCGAGACGTTCATTTCAAATTACTTCAATTTGCCCTTCACTCTTATCATGTACTTCGGCTATAAGCTTTGGTTCAAGACCAAGATAATTCCCTTGGAAGATGTACAACTTCGTCATCTGATCGACTGTTACGAACATGAGCCACGGGTTGAGCCAAAGCCTCGACGCGGATTAGCAAGACTGAACTTTCTGTGGTCTTGAACATTCAGGGTAGTCGGAGTATCTTTGTGAGACTTTTGCTATAGTAGCATAACATGCGTGGATATTTCGTGTCTTGGGAAGTGGTGATTGCTTTGACGTAGCATGGTTATTGATTACTTACTATTGAATTGAGACGTGTCTGCCAACCTACCCTGTACTGCAATCTGACATTCGCTGTGCAAGACTTCAAGTATCAGTCTAATAGACATAAGACCTGTAAATTTCGCTGTCTTGATGATAATAGCGATGGGGTAAGGTATGACATAGTAGAAGTCCGTTGATGCGCCCAATAATACCGCAGAATATACTCCGTACAATTGGTAAAATGAGTCTGCACTTTGTGGGGAAAGTGGGACATGTGGGAGATGCCGAGAGTGTGTTGCAGATTCTAGAGTACACCAGTCAGCAGGCTGACTTGCTTGGCTGCTTGAACACTAACTTAACTAAGCCTCATCGGGCTTAGGTTTCCAGAAGGGGATCATGGAATTTCTTTTGTCTATGTAAATAAATTCGATTATTGTTTATTAATCTGCTCTATATAGAACAGACACAACATGCACTGAGACACACGCGCTCTCTATAGAACATTCTTGGGAAAAGGATAACCAAACCGGAATAACGGCAGCGTGTGCTCCTATCGGTTGAGCTTTCATGTCAAGATACCACTAACTATCTGGAAAGCCGCTAGCATATCTCCGATCCGGCCACAAGAGTCGAGAACCAAGTGTGGAACCCCTGTAGCCCCGATAATGATAACCGATAACGAGAGGAGAGAATAGCCAATCACGCCTTACCGGACCGGTATTGCTCCATTAGGCTAGATCAAGATGAAATGGCGATAACCGGCCGGTTCAGTGGAGTACAGAGTACCAGTGTCACAGTCGTCATTGGATAAAAGAGACCATTTCACGTTGTTGTTGATGCTGCAAGTCGACCCTGCTTGAGATAATTCATTGTTGTCTACTGCGTAATCTCATAATTGCGCCCTTTCTATCAGCATCTTATCTTGTTTCGCCAAACTTTCTTTTCCCCTCTTCCCCGCACTCTTCTATCAAGGACTGCAACCGAAGTTGACATCGAGTCCCCATCATGGCCAATCAGAAACATGTCGTCTTCGACGTCGTCGGCACTTGCGTCTCATTTGATGCCTTCTACAACGGTATTGACCGCGTCATTGGCGAGAAGCTGGCCTCAAAGCACATCACAGCCAATGCATTCGGCTACACTTGGATGACGGCAGCCGAGCTTGAGTTCACCTTTCTCTCCGTCTCTGAGCGCCATCGTCCCTACAAGGAAGTCTTGCGCACCTTGTTCTACCGCACGCTGTTCATGGTTGGTGTTGCAGCACCACGAGAACTGGTCACAGACGCAGAGAGGGATGCTTGTGTCCAGGCATACTCGGATCTCGAGTTGCGACCCGGAGCAAAAGAGTGCTTTCAGATATTGAGAGACGCCGGCTTCACAGTTTGGTGTCTGACAACAGGCGATACCAAGCGTGTGGGTGGATACTTTGAACGCGCTGGCGTTGACATGCCCTTGGAGAACCTCATCAGCTGCGATGGACAGGGCGTGGCCAAGCCCGCGTTGGCTGCGTATAGGCCGACCTTGGCTCGATTCGCACCGGATGATATCAAGTGGTTTGCTGCTGCTCACATGTGGGACGTGTCAGCTGCGGTCAAAGTTGGCTTCCGCGGTGCTTACTGCACCATATATGAACAGGATCCCTGCGCTGAGATCTTCGACACCAAGATGGAGGTCATGGCTGACACACTACCAGAGATGGCAAAGGGGATCGTGCAAGCATCGCTTTAGTTATTGTCTGTTTTAAATAAATTCGATGAACCATGTTTTATTATGATTCGCTTCCACTACCTAGTCTCCTCCAGGAGGTCCTGTGATGAATTGCCCAAGGATTTCCGTCTCGGACTGGGTAAGCCATCCATCAGTCGGAGAGAGATTTTCGGTACCAAAGACAGGTAGTTGAAGTAGAGGATCAGCCATAGGGTCATAAGCACTGAAAAAGTCCATGCTGGACAGGGCCTGGAAGTCTACCGGCCAGCCAGACACGGAGTCTATCTCCGCTTGACCACCTGAGGCATTCGAAACCGCAGGTGTAGTGGCGTCGAGCCCATTCTTGCCTGCCAAGTTGGCTCCCCAGCTGCGGAATGCTTCGTATGCCGAATCAAAATTCGCTTGATTATCGCTACTGCCCACGTCGTTCGATCGTGCTCTTGCATGCAAACGAGCTAGAGCACGCTCAAGCGACTCGATCAAGGAAATCTCTGCGCGTGCCGACTCTCCAACAGCAGACATATCCCGTATCATATCCAGCCCTTCACATAACGACTTGCGGAATTGGTCAGAGAGATTACGAATTGAGTAGGCAATCAGCACCAGCAACGATGCTCGACACGCACTGTATTCGGAATACGAGGCTCGAGCGAGGCCCATCCCGCTCGACCGTAGCTGCTGACAAATGTCGAGGGCTTCCGTTGCCGCTTTGATGCAGTCGCTTATCAGCTCTTCTCGGCTAGTCACGAGTTTCGATGCACTTCTTTCGTTGGTCCCAGGGCTGTTTTCGGGGACAGACGGGCTTGTCGCAGAGTCTTTTGTCTCTTTCTTCAGAAGAAACGGTCTCCCGACAAACATGCGCACCAGGCAGTAATCGAGCCTCAGGTGCATTGCTGAACGTGACTGTGCCATTGTTGGCTGCTCGGTCACGTCGATTGTATTCGGAGGGAGAGATTGCCACCAGGTGATCAAGCCGTCCTTCTTGGACACAAGCCGTGATACTATTGTGACTATCTCTCGCTTTCGGCAATTGCGCAAGATGTTGCTGGATGGGCGTTATTCTTATCGTGTCTTGCGTCGATCTTAGGTCTCAACTTACATCTCGTGATACATGTCTTCGAGGAAGTGCATCAGCTGTACAGAAACTCTCGTGTATGAAGCTCGTTTGCGCCAATCATCTGATTGTAAACCGTCCTGCTGCAGGGGTAGACTGGCATCGATATTTGACCGGGACACCGAGATAGGCCGGCCGTGGAAAATAGATATCTTTCTTCTCTACAGTCAGCGGAGGAAATTCCATTTGCATTCTGGGGAAGCCATAGCTTACCTTTCCAACACGAAGGTCGTCCACCAAACGCGATTTCGAGTTTCAATAACGCTTGCGTTAAAGGCGTTGTTGCTGCATTTCCGATGCATACCATTCTGTATCCCCAATCTAGTAGCCAGATTAATGTAGATAAACCCCAGGCCAGAAGCGTCAATCGGCAGGGAATAGTATCCAAACAACAGACATGCCTGTACACTTTCGAGGGACGAGATCTCGATGATTTCTGGGAGCAGTCGAATTGCTTGTTGGTAAAACATGGCGCCTATCTCTTCCTCCAACAGGCCTGACGTCGAGGTGTTATCAGAACCATCGGTGTGTTCTAGATGAGCGTATTGAGTTCCGATGGCAAGGACTGTCAGGAGGATGCTGATCGTCACTTCACTGCCATCGTGGGATAGACCTTGAGGGCTCTTATAGAGTAGATCTAATTTCTCAAAAACCCAGCTTTCTTCAATAAAGAAGAGGTAACTCTCTGCAAGCTTGAAAAAGACTGTCACTAGGAAGTGTGATATGTTGGCAGGAGGAAACGATGATATGGCTTCTGACATGTGGTTACGCCCAGGACGAAGATGATGCGCCCGTGGAAAGGCATCCGAGTCATCATTTTGACTATTGCCATCCTATATATCATTAGATACGAATGGAAAAACAATTCCTGTCTGTAGCATAACATACTCGGCGGCTCTCTGGCTCTTGTATCTGGCTCTCGATTAGGTTTTTGATACGCATGGAGAAGTTCCAATACGAGAATTCTCCTGAGAAATCTGCGATGGTTCAGTGCTTGTGTCAGTGCAAGTTAAGTATGAGGTCAACGAACGCGCTGTTGTATCTCCAACTGGTTGCATCGTACAAGCCTCATCATCGATCTCCAATGCTTCCAAGTTGTCCCCCAGCCCTTCCAAGTCCCTCGGGCCATCTGAGGCCGTATTTAGACTCTGATGCTCGGCGTCGAGTCTGTCTGCTATGTTGGACAGATTCTCAGTGTCAAGAGGGACTCCTGGCATGGTTCGCCGTAATATCCGTTCCATGTGTTTTGCTCTTTCAATCAGTTGGCTCGTATCCGGTCTCCGGCGGCTTTCTCTTCGAGGCGTCAGACGTGCTTTCGACGATCGCAGTCGTTGAGGCTACTCACCTGGGAACGTAGGCACGAAACTCACGAGGCTTCGGGGCCGGATCTGTGTATCTACATTGCCGCTGAAGATGTGAGCACCTGCGGCACGGGAAGCCGCTTTCACATTTCTCTTTCAATCGACGACATTCATCGCACCTATCGCGTTCGATATTAGACAATTGGGTATTTCCCTCCCTGGCTTGTTTCGGGATCTTACGCTCGGGAGACGCGTCTTCGTTGCTCCATAAGGACTGGGTCTGAAACTGACGCTCACGTATTTAATCAGGTAGGGAGCTCACAATGAGATAACGGGTTTTCGACGAGTATGAATGCATGTTCCCCAATCTGGCTGGGGGCTAATCATCTACGTGACTTTCCTGCACCCCGCTTTTCCAGCAACTACCCCAGAATAGTTAGTCACTGTGCAGTGTCTTATCTTAAGGTAAGATAAGCTTGAAGAAGAGTCAGTTAATTGTTAGTAAGAGCTTGTGACACCTCAGCGACATATATCAGGCTGGCATTACTCAATCTTCAACCAGCCAAGCCAAGATAATGGCAGTCACCTGCTACCTTGGGCTACCTTGGGCTGCCTAGTCGGCCTTTTGGTCAGCTAGTGGCACCTAACCGTTATGCCTAGCTTGTAGAGCCAGACAAGGTAAATGTCCCTATAGATCGGAACCTCAGCGAGAGCCTGAAATGCGGCTGTAGTGTTTGGCTTTGGCGCGCGGAAGCTTGAGCATATTGATAGCAAGAAAAGAAGTCGCTGCAGAAATACAGGCTTCCAAGTCCGATGAAGTAGCTCCTTACCCTTTCTGTCTGTACGACCACAAGTGTGGCACGAGAAATCTTGGGATAAGACCTGGCGGTAATTGCGGGCCTGGCCGCTTCTTGTACCAGGTATCTCTCAGCACAAAGAATCGCCAAAGTGATTGAATTTTAATCTCATCACCAATCACCAAGGGCTACCATACGTGTCCCGACGAAGTACATTACCCAAATCATCCGCCTACAAGAACTAGGCCATCATGCACGAGTGATCTAACGCGACTTATGCAATTCTCACAAGTTATAGCCGAAACCTCCCTAGCGCAGATCAAGGCATCTGCCCAGCTGGACTTAGCTGCTTTACAGAATCATGCTGAGATGGACTTTCGGTACTAGACTAATAGCCCTTTCGATGAGCAAATGGCAGCTATTGAAGTTGTTGCCCAGTCTTGGAACACAGCGCAAAGCGCTGCAGCCTAAGTGGCCCATCTGGTCTGGTCTACATTGAGTAACACTAGCCAGAAGGGGCCGAAGCGCACGGGACTGCATTACGTAAGCCTTTGAGAACTCAAAAGGGCCAAATTCGGGTAACAAATGAGAGTCTGGTTTGCATTACTACACGGCCTGAATTTACCATTGGAAGAATCTGACACTGGGAAATCTCGGCTTCTTCTTATTGTTTCTCCCCTATAATTGACCTATCTGAGAGGAATTGCACCATGACGCAAATATCTGAGGTTTTCCCACGGTACTATCAGCTTCTGTTTATGGTTCTCGAAGTACGCGTTCTTGCCGACCCTTGGCTTATCGGGCATCTTATTAACTCTTCTATAGCCAAGTGCGATCCTTATCTCACTTTTTTTTATTCCAGCATCACCATCAAACCACTTCCACTCCCTCGCACCATCTGATAGCATGGGGCCTTTCTGGTCGCCCTCTCCTTTGCACAAGCTATGTGACGCCGATTCAGCCTGGAACACCCCGCAGCTCCGCGGCCTCTGGTATTCATACATCTCCGCTCTCGCCTTTAGTGGCGTTATTGAGCCGATGGTCCTGTACGTAGCTCGATACAAGCTGCGAGATATACGTGACGCGGAGGAGGTGATAAAGACAGTTTTGGTTGCTTTTATAGCCTTTGATATCTTCCATGCAGGCGCAACTTTGGCTGTCACGGGTGTGGCGGCGGTACTTCCTGGATCACGGAGTCACATATATGCTATGGTTAATGTTTGGGTTCCGATGGCGTGGATGCTCTTGCGGATATCGTGGATAGCAGGTGTTGGGAGAAAGTCTGCCATGACTGGGATAAAGCGCGAGTAAATATCAGTAACAGTCACTTACTGCTATTTGCTAGAGAAGGGGAAGTGAATAGTAGTACTTTGGATCTTCTTTTATTTAGCAATGTTGGTCGCTCTTACCCAGCGCGTCTTGCGGAAAGAGCTGGCGAGCCTGATTCTAATGGTGGCTTTCCTACCTGCGCCTCAGCTTTCCTAGCTTCATTACTGGCGCACTAATTGGATGTGGGTTTCTTCTCATGGCTCTCAATGTTACGTACCCCTCGCAACCTGTCTTGGCGGCGGGTTTGCTGTGTGGGGTCGGCTCAGCAGACCAATTCTGCATAGTAAATACTCTGGATCTGCAAAACTACAGGTTCTCGTATGTGGGACAAAGAGGAGAGGCTTGACTTGCTTGATTATTTTACAAGTATCGCCTTTTGTATCATAGGACAAGCTGCTACCACATCTTCCGACTGATCCATTGGGTTTCCATATTATTTAACCTTCACTTTTGCTTATTACATATTAATGAGATCATGCCTTCCCCAAACTCAAACCACCATCCAGTTATAATCGTTGGGGCAGGTCCGGTTGGCCTAATTACCGCGGTAAACTTGGCAAAGCTCAATGTGCCAGTACTGATTCTAGAGAGAAACCATCAAGTCGACCAATCTCCCCGCGCAGCTGTTTACCAGCCTTGTGCACAGGCAGAGCTGCTCGAGTCTGGCACTCTCGACGATGTCCGGAAGGAGTCTGTTCTCAATGATGTCATGACTTTTTGGAAGAACAAGGAAAAGGTCGCTTCTATCACCAAGACTCAAGATGCTGATGTATTCCCTGCCGGACTTAATTGCCCGCAACCCAAGCTGGCCAAAATCTTGGTCGATCATCTCCTCAAGAAATACAATGCTGAGATCAAGTTCTGCAAGAAAGTCATTCAAATTAACCCTTACGTTGGTCGAGATACAGTCGAAGTCGTGGCTCTGGACACCAATACAAATCGCGAGATCACATACACGTGCAACTGGCTGGTAGGGGCTGACGGCGCTGGATTAACCGTTCGCAGACTCTCCGACATTACATTTGACGGCTTCTCTTGGCCCAAAGAAGACTTCGTCGCAACCAACGTACGCTTCGATTTCATGAAGCATGGCTTTTCGACCGCCAACTTTATCATGGACCCTGTACACTGGTCCGTCGTATGCATTCTAGACGATGCTGGCCTTTGGCGTTGTGCCTTTGGTGTCAAGGCAGGAATGACAAACGATGAGATTCGGGCCGAGATTGATGAGCACTACAAGCACATTTTCCCAGTCTGGCCTGTCGAATACGAGCTCGTAGAGCTAAACAAGTACAAGCCTCATCAGAGATGTGCCTCGACTTTCAAGAAAGGAAGGGTTTTGCTGGCGGGAGACGCAGCTCATGTACGTCATTGTTTCCACAGACCAGTGTAACCATATTCCGCGAGGTCATCTGATATACTGACCAATAGACTATAGAGCAATAACCCCATCGGAGGACTGGGCTTGACTACTGGCCTATTAGACGCGGGACCTCTCGGCCGCGCTCTTGGTGCTGTGATCAACGGTCGAGCACCAGAAGATATTCTTGACTACTGGGCAAATGCGCGTCGCGACAAGTGGCTCACTTTCACCAACGCATTCTCCATTGAAAATAAGAGAATGATCCAGATGGGAGGATACAGCGAAGACCCTCTTGGTATATGGGCCGATGATGAAGTCGCGAAAGAACATAATATGGAGAAGTGGGTAAGGACAGCAACTCCAGAAAAGAGACAGGAGGACAATCAGTTCCATGAGTCGCTTGCAGACCTTCACAACCAGGATATGGTCCACGTGAGGCAATGGAGCATTACCCTTGATCCTTGGTGGATGGAGGAGTACGAGGATCTAGAGGTGGTTAAGTACAGAATTTCCCTTCGGCCAGATACGTGTTGAGTATGAGTGTGCTGGTCCTATCCAGATACCAACCAAGGCCTACATAACTCACAGTCACCAGAATGAGGTTATAGCCTTTTAAATACTGGTAACGTTAAATAGCTTTTACATAATAAGAATCTACCTTTTTTAAAAACTCTAAGCAACGGATAAGACCGCAGTTTCAAGATGTACAGAACTGTGCCAAACAGGTTTACACCACCTAACACACTTATTAAACTGCAGTCTTTAGCCTTAAGTGATGATACGAGCTCTATAGTAAGGTGTATGTCTATATAGGTGTCTAGAGGCTATTTAAAAACTTAATACTTTTATTGGCAAACGCGACCTCGATCGTAGGTAATTCATTTACTGCAGACTTTTAAGGCCCTTTATAAGGATAGTGAGCCTTACTAGATGCAGATTATTAGCCTTCTTTATAATTTAACAGGTAGGAGAGCATAATAGCCAGAGGTAATAGATCCAAATTGATTATATAAACTATATATACCTGTAACTCTAGTTGAAGGTATCGCTATAGTTACCAGCATTCAGGACTCATTTATATAAAGGAATCGTATACCCAGGAATGGCTATTGTCTTGTTTCCGCCGCAAGGTCCGCCCAGTAAGTACATTTCTCAGATAATGAGTTACTTATTTTTTCCATCCTAGTATTATTCGTCTCGATATTAAGAAAGCTACCATCCGTGGATTTCTTCCAAAACGGCGTCCCGTTAGCCCTTAAGATATTAGGGTTGCCAGAAGACCGCGCGAAACTAGTCCAAAAAGCCTGCATTACAGGTACGATCGCAGAATTAGATTGACCTGGTTTGAAGCTAATGGCCCCCGGCAAAGCAGCATAGTTTATGGCAAATGAGGGTCCCCAGACAGCCTGCGTGTCGAAAGTATGTGGCACAATGTAGCCAGTTTGGACCTCGACTGGATCCAAGATGCGATCAAGATACAAGTACACAGGAACACCAGCATTACGGAGACCTGCCGCGAACTGGAAAGCCGGACAAAGGAATGAGGAATCGCCAAGCATCTCTGCAGCTCTGTAGTATAATGGAGCCTGCGTGATGGTGACATTGGGATACGTCGCTGGTATATCTGAATAAAGCTGGTTTAGCCTGCTAAGGGCTGTTTCCGTCAGACCAGGGAGTTGAGCCGTTAGGAATAGGTTCACATCCTCGGTAGTATTGGCTTGAGGTGCAAAGACGGTTCCTTCTGTATTCGAGGATCCCAGGATCATCGGTTTGTCTTTAGCAAACTGTCCTTGCTGAAGCAGAGTGGAAGGTCGATCTGGGAGAAAGCTACCATCGATGGTCGGACCATATCCGAAAAGTGCAGGCTCATGTTGACCAGGGAATGGGATAGCCACATTCTTGGCTTGAAACTGCTCAATAGGCAACTGGCGCAGACATTCCAAGTCGCTACAATTCGTAGCCGTAAGCAGGTGCTCGTAATGGAACTGCATCTCATCGACAGTGTAGACTGAGGGCAGATACATGGACTCGGCGATTCCTGCACTCCACTGCTTAGAGCTATTTGTGGACTTGCCTCCATATGCCAGTAATTGCAGAAGAACACTGCCTCCGCCGACTGAAGTACCGAAAAGTGTCACTTTGCTCGGATCGCCTCCGAATTTGGAGATATGTTCATGAATCCATTCGATAGCGGCCATCTGATCGTGAAGCCCGACATTCAGGTTTCCTTCTTCTTTCAATTCATGGTTGGCAAGGAACCCGTACGGTCCAACACGGTAGTTAAAGGTGGCCACAATCATGTTTCCCTGAGTTGCTTCGATGAGGCCAGAGCCATTGTAGTTTGCGTTGATGTTCTGTACAAATCCACCGCCTTGGATCCACAACATGACTGGAAGACCGCCGTCTTTGTTGGAGGTAGCATTTTTCGGAGCGTATACGTCGATGAAGAGGCAGTCTTCTGAGAACTCCAAATCGGGGGTTGGAACAGATGGGTTAACGCCATAACAGACAGCGCCGTGCTAGTATTTGAAGATTAGATAGGTCTAGATTGCAAGTGACAAACCTCACCTTGTGAGCCTGGACTAAGTGTGTTTCATTGAGCGGCCGATCAGGCAACCGGAAACGGCGTGACCCCGTGGGCGGCGCGGCATATCTGAGCTAACATCAACAACATTTCGCGATGAAAGCGTTATAAGTATCAACATACCGCATACCCAAGAACTGGTTAACACCATTGGAAAGGGCCACACCTTCGTATTTAGCATAGCCCAAATTGACACGAGGTGCAGTCGTTGACGAGCAGCTATCGACAGGCTTTGCGGCTGCGATGATGCCTCTGAAAGAGGAAGCGCACAGCAACACGATGTACGAGAGTCGTGGCAACATGGTAGGAAAGTCTGGTATTCTATGAGGTATTGTGAAAAGAGTATATTGGCCGTCTGTAACCTGTCTCAGTAGATGTAATAGCGGTAGGTGATCAGCATATTATATATGTATCATAGAGCACAGATCACAACCGGGCATTCAAGATTGCAGTTCCTACACAACCAAGAGAGTAGAGCATAAAGAGAAAAACATTTGTAAGCACACTACAAATTAGACCGGATTTGTCGTGACACCGCCTTGAGTAAGCTGTCGCAATTCGCGCGCGCTTGTCAGTAATCTTTAAGATGTATTTCGGCCCTTATGTTGTTAAGAAGAAATGGCCTCCGCTATTTCCATCAATCTCACCCTGTTCCTTATACGCCAGCGAAGCTTCCATAGGTAGATTTGCCGAAGATCGCGTACGTACTGCCCCACATCTAGCTAGTATACCCCGAGGAGGCAACTGCATTAGTTATCTTGCTGGACTTTTTAAGCAACTCTGTGGGATGGGGTACCCAGCACAAGAGATAACTCAAGAATGAGTGATTAACACGTTTTGCTGCTACTCGTTGTTATTGGCCGTTGTCAATCTGCATATTACCTGGATCGATAGCCAGTGCTAAAACGTCAGAAATTCCTTAATGCGATTCGTCGTGCAAGACGTGAACGTCCAATATCGGGATGCCGGAGGCAACAAGAGCAGCTGCCAGCCCTCGAGCACACGGCAGACTTTATTATTCTTCAATCTATGATTTCTGTTATTCGCATTCAGAAAAAGTTGTTAGGAAACGTGGGCTGGCGACAGATTCCTCTGATTTTGTTCAGCCACTCTTACTGCGAATCCTGTTATCGTTACTTGCGAAGCGCGCCGAGTTGCATTATGTCTATCAAGCTGTTGAGGTCCATCTGGTCCTCCCTAGGTCTTGGAGCGTCCGCTAGTATCTCCCTGATTTCTAATAGCAGTCCCATCATCTATCAACCAAATGAAGTCAGCACACCTACTTCTTGCAAAATGGTCATGAATAGGTAGATAACTACTCTTCCACATACTGAGCTGGAGGTTTTGTTGGTTGTGATCGTATAAATTAAGAGCGCTGCGCCCACAACCATGCATCGTCGTTGCGAAGTTGAGAGCAGCGTCCATTGGCGTACAAGTTGTTGAGGCCGCACATGCGAACAGTGCAGCGAAAACATCAATACAGACTCTTGATAGCGACCAGGGTGCCATTAGGTCTCCGCAATGGCATGCCCCAATATAGTCGGTGACGGAGACGCCTACACCTGCCCAGCAGATCAACTGCGGTATTCTAAGCTCTGTCTGCTGATTTACGCTCTCACACACAAGTCTGAAATGTAAATAACACATCTGCATAACAACCTAGACATTATATAGTCGCTATATTACACCAATCTAGTGTCAGAATTGTACCAGACTCACTTTCAACAATGTAGAGAGTTTTCTCAGGCCCCTCTCCCCAAGTCAAATTAGTCGTGCCGGAACCAAAACCTTTTGTTGTAATGGTTGCGCGCGGTGTGCCGTCCTTGCGATGCACAAAAACTGTGCCCAGTGTAGAATGAGCAACAAAAAGATCACCCTCCCTATTCGTCAACAGGCCATCAGGTCCCCCAACACCAAAGTAGCTCGAAAACCGCCCTGTTCGCTGCACACTACCATCTGGGTACAGGGGCGCAAGCCAGACACTGTTATCCCTTGTCATGGCGACGAAGAGATTCTTTTCATCTTTATCGAGAACTAGGCCATTGGGTGAAGGACAGTTGCGAAGCAGCACCTCGACGCGGTTAGGGCCTGCATCTGTGTTGAAGCCTGGGCCGATGCGGTATACACGTCCCGTCGGGTCTTGAAGTCCACTCATACCCTGATCGGTGAAGATAATACTGCCGTCGCAAGTGGCAATCAGGTCGTTGGGGCCCTTCAGCCGCTCGCCATTGAAGCGATCCATCACAGTGGTCATGATCTTAGTTTTGAGGTCGAGAGCAAGGATGCCGTGCTTGAAGTCGGCAATGAGGAGTTGGCGCCGCTCTTTATGCCATGCTAGACCATTGGGCTCACCGTCGTATTGTATCACAAGGTTCCATTCATTTGTGTTGAGATTGACGGCGAAGATCCGACCGTACGGGATGTCGGCCAGATACAGCGTGTCGTCTATGACGACTGGCCCTTCAAGGAAGCTGTCGAGTGGTCGTCCACGTTTCTGGTTTGTCGAGTGCTCTGATACGCCAAAAGTGCGAAATTTGGATGGAAGCGTGGTTAGGAGCTTTGGCTCCAGTACTGGAGGGGGCATGGTCCAATTCATCTCGCAGGATAGCTGAGCAATACCCAAGGTGGTGATGACTTTTCGAACTGGTAAGGGCAGGGTTGCATAGTCTAGGTCATCGGGCCTCTAAAGGATCTGAAGCGGGACTTTGCCGTACATACGCTCCCGCCAGATTTGAAGAACGGGCAAATGCCGCACGGGGTGGTGTGCGGAGATTGAGCACGGAGGCTCTCCGCCCAGGGCTCCGGCGGTGTTTGCTCCGCTGACCCACGATTCCGGAGTCCTGCGGGGAAACTCAATGTAGATGCCAGGTTACTTATGAGCTTGTGTTGATTACCCCTTTATTTGCTCGTTGTGTCCAACGGATTTCACCCGCCACTACGTAAAACATGG